ATGGAAGATACGCATGTCCACCGTTCCTCACCACTGTATGTACACACAGCCTTTGTGATGCCATGTTGAGCCTGGGTACAAGCGGCAGCATGATGTGGCAGGGTTCAGAGTAGACAGGATACAAGGGAAGCAAGTCCAAAGCTTAACATGTTGTGTCCTAAAGTCCCAAGAAGCCATCTTTCCATTTGAGCCAGACTTCCGTCAGACACAGAACAAGGGCAGTGGCACTTTTAAGGCATCAGTGACCAAGGACCGGTACTGTCCTACTCCTGCTGACTCCCTGGATGTGCCAGCTGCGCGCAATGAGAAGAATGACAGAAGTGCAACAGGACAGCCCATACTTTATACACTGTTCGGCAAGCGTGAGTAAGTGTGCCGCTAAAAGGTGCACATGGCGAGCTCAGTAACAGCCGGTCGTCTTCTGCAGTTTTTCTACTGTTCTGATAGTAAAACACACTCTATTTGCATTTAAGGCTGGAACTGCATAATATAAAATTAAATGTAAATGGAACACGGCACCAAAACAAGTTGTAAGAACACCATGATGGCAGCAAAGAGACACACACGGTAACGTTCGTGGCAGTTCTAACTGGGTCTATTCATTACACAAGATGAATTTCCTATCTTCGTACACAGTTCTGTTTTTCTCACCTCCCCATCACCCTCCAGGACCCCTTCCCCTCACTGCCTCACTTCTTGTCCCCAGATGGCCCCTTCTGCATTCCTGTCTTATATGTATTCAAATAAGGATTCTGCACATGAGAAAAACATGTAGCATCTCTCTGAGTTTGGCATATTTCACCTAGTATCTCCATTCCATCTATTTCTATACAAACGACATAATTTCATTTTTATGGCTGAATAAAACTCCAATGTATACATACACATTTTTATCCGTTCATCTATTAGTGAAGCTATATGGCAGATTCCGTAATATGCCTCCAGTGAATAGTGCTGTCATAGGCATGGGTGTGCCAGGCTCTTGGATGGCTTTCGGTGTACACTAGTGAGTGGTACCGCTTAGTTTTTTGAGGCACCTCCACGCTCATCTGCATAAAGGTCCCAGTAACTTACATTCCTGAACCCATGCAACAGCATTCCTCACCACCTTCCAATGCCCTTGGCAGCACTTATTATCCTTTGTTTTCTTGGTGACAGCCATTCTAACTGGAATATGGAGTGCTGACAAAATACTGACTTTTCTTGGATGGCTAACGGGGTCCACCATTTTTTTCAAGTGTTTATTTGCCATTTGTTTTTGAGACTGTTCAGTTCATTTGTCCAGTTGTGGACTGATTAGTTTTTTGTTGGCATTTAGTTTTTAGAGTTCTTATTTTCAAAGCATGTTCCTGTCAGATACTCTTCATTCCATTTTTTTTTTTCTGTGCACAAGCTTTTTAACTATGCAGTTCTATTTTGCAATTCTAGCTAGGAATGCATCTATCGGAGGCCCTTTCAGGAAGGCCTTGACTCTCCGTTGTAAAATATTCCATTCTCTCTTAGCAGTTTTGGAAATGCAGGTCTTGCATCCAGGATCACAGCTGTGTGGGCCCATTCACCTGCTGTTGTTTTTGTGGTAGCATCATGCTTCATTTCTGCCCTGACAGGGTAACTGCGGTTACCCTGCGGTTTCCGGCTCTGCTCATTTTACTCAGGATTGCTTTAGCTATTTGGGGTTTTTTGTGCTTCAAAATGAATTTTAGAGTTTTTTTCTTGTCTCTGAAGAATGTCACTGGGATTTTTTTTCTTCTTTTTGAGACCAGGTCTTCCTGAGCCTCGGCTGGCCTAGAGCTCATTATGGCTGTGCTCTCACAGATTCGTCTGCCTCTTCCTCCCAAGTCTTGGGATCAAAGGTGTGTGCTACTAGGCCCTGCTGTGTCATTGTGGAGTTTTAACTGAGAATGTATGGAATCTGTAGATGGCCTTTGGCAGTATATCCATTTTCATAATAATAATTCTGCCAGCCCATGGCCACAGGAGATCTTTCCATCTTTCTGGTGTTTCCAAACTTTTTTAATAGTTTAGATTCATCTATTAACTTATCAATAAATGTGCGCATGTGCATTTGCCTACATGACATTTATTTTTACCACATGTGTGCAGGGTCCTGCAGAGGGTGTCTGACTCCCTAGAACTGGAAGTACAGGCAGTTGTGAGCCACTGTGTGGGTGCTGGTAATCAAACCCAGGTCCTCTGCAAGAGCAGTAACCACTGAGCAATCCCACTAGCGCCTCTTTAGTTATTCTGAAGATCTTTCATTGCGGAATTACTGGTAGGAAAATCCCAACTGTCTTTTTTAAAACGACTCTGGGATTTCCGTCATTTTGCACTCACTGTTTTCAGTACAGCAGAGAAAAAGTGGCTGTTCTTTTAGTGATTTCTATCCTGCTTCTCCACCTTCTGCAGTGCTCACTTTGATCATGAATGGCTTTCGTTTATTTTACTTTCCAAGGTATTCACTTCTCCTCTAACTTAAAAAGATAACTGTGCCGTATAGTAATCCTGGTTGGTATTCTTGTCAGGACTTGAAATACGTTACTGTATACTTTCCTGCCTCTTAGGGATGGGGCTGAGAGGTCTGATGTTATTCTGGTGAGTTTGCCCAAGATTTTCAAATAAAACTGGAAGAGATAACTGTCCCAACAGATGGTCAAATTACAACTCAATCACAAGAAACATGAAAATCTACCCGATCCCTCCAAAAGAGCATAACTCAATAGCCAGATCCAAAGACGAAATGACTACGCCAAACAATTCAAAAGCCTAGTTCTAAAAATAATGTCTCAAGGAGGACTCAAACAAGCAGGTGACTGACCTAAGGAAGTCAATTCCAGATGAGAAATTCAACAAGGAAAGTGAGATTTTGAAAACAAGTAACAGCCAAACACCAAAAAGAAACGTTGGAAAAGAAAAATTCTCAACAGCGGAAGGCATCTCCAACAGCAGATCAAGCGGAATGAGTATCAGGGCTTGAGGACCAGGCAAGGAGACACTGCCTTCGAACAAGCGTAATGACAGCTTTCAAGAATTCTAGGACTTTCTCAAGAAACCAAACCTAAGAAGCCGTGGGCAAGAGAAAGAGCAGAGATACAAAGTAAAGGAACAGAAAAGTGGTTCAATGAGATGATAGAAAACTGCTCAAATCTTAGAAGAAAGATGCGTATCCAAACAGAGCTGCATGACCAGGAAAGCATTTCTCACATCACATCTTAACTGAAAGCTGCAAGCGAAGCATGTTCTCCTGAGTGGAAGAGGCCTATGTCTTAGTTTTGCACTGGACTCTCCCATTGCGGCCCTGCTCTTCACTTGGCTCCTTCTGAGGCTGGTCTGGAGCTTTTCTTGTTATGAACCCCTTCCTTCTACAGCCCTTTGACTCTGACTGTTCCAGGCTTGAAGGGCACTACTGCTCCCTCGGTCCATCTGTGGAATATGTAAGTGGGACCAAACTCAATTAACACACAGGCTCCACAAATGTGAACGACGAACATCTCCTGCGGTAGAAGACACTATGACTTCTCAACAAAGCAGCAGTCAGGCAAATGATGGCCTGGTCAAGCTGGCTCTCCCGTGAACTGCTGCACATATTGAACTGTTCCAAGTGGAATAAAATTCAAGGGTCAGAGTATCTCCTAAATTAGAGGTGATCCTGACACAGCCATAGTATCATTATAAATACATAAGCGGTTTTAAAATCACCAGTGCTGAACTGTAAATGGTCGGTTTCGCACTGCAAAGGCAAGGAGCAGAACTGTTTCAAACACTTTTTTCCAGGCATGGTGGTACATGCTAGAACCCCAGCACTGGAAGAGTGGAAGCAGGACAAGTGTGAGGTTAAGGGCAGCCTGGGCTATTAGAGATCCTGTGTAAAAGACAAACAGTGAACCAGTATGTACTGGCATGTTCTAAAGCAAGTGAATGCCTACTGACATGAAACTCAGTACACTGCCAAACACAATGGAGCATTTACATTCAAGTATTTGAACTATTTACAAAACTGGAAGCAGGCAGTTTGCCATGGTCCTTGAAGACTACACTCTTTTCCTTGGGTTCGAGGACGTAGGAAGCAGTGGCCCAAAGCTCCTTTTTCTTATCACTAGAGTCAACACCAAAATTAAGATTTTAATTTTTTATATATGCACATGTGTGTGTGTGCGCATGTATGTGTTGTGTTATAGCTCCTGCAGCTGGAGTTATAGGTGGTTGTGAGCCAACCTCATGTGGGTGCTGAGAAACAAACTCTGTAAGAGCCTGCATGTTCTTAACTACTAAACCATTTCTCCAGTCTCCAAAACAAAAACGTTAAGACTTCAATAAACGAAGTGATGTTAGTAACGAGATACAGGTAGAGAATCATGGAGACTTAGAGTTTCTAGGGGGTTACGGGAAAGAGAAGCCCTGTACTAGAAGCCGGGGTAGAAAGAACATTGGAGTATGTCAGCCAGCTGGGATCCAAGTGTGCTTCTGGTACGGGCTCTGCCCCTCCTCAGAACTCTTGTCGTCTGGAATTTCTGGACACAACTGGCAGCCACCGTAGGTCTGGGTGGATAGCGTGTGTGGCCGTCAGGGAGGCCGAGCAAGGAAGCAGACATTCCTAATTGAAAATCTGCGTAGTGTCTTTTCTTACAGAAATCCTGTCAGATGAAGTAGGTAAATCCAGATTTCTCTTCTCACACAGTAGGCCTATGTGGGCTGGCTACACGTCTAGTACCATCGTGTGTCTGTGTAGAAGTTCTGGTACAAGAGGCCCTTGGAATCCCACACTGCTCCAAGCAGGTTTCGGCTTAGAGCAGAGAGAGGCAGCTCAGAACCGTGGCCAGGCAGAACATGTGGAACACTCATCAGGGACTGGCTTGTCAAAAGTTATGAAAAGTTATGCAAATCAACACCTGGGAGTTGTAAATAGTTAAAGTACAGTGGAAGCATTCTTTTTGAAAATAATTTGGGCAAATGTGTAAATACCGTAATACAAAGCTGGAAGCAAAACACTTTACAAGAAACTGTCGGGAACATGGAACTTTATAGAAAATTAGCAAGAAATGACCCAAGTGAGATCTGTTTGTGGGACAGGACGTAAAGAACATAAAATTGTATCTTTAAGAGTTTTTATAAAACATCACACAGCCTGTCAAGATAAGGCATCAACCGTACCTAACAGCAAAAACAAACTGACCTGAAGAACTGTAAGAAAATATCCTTATGAAACGCTGTCCAAACATTTGATAGAAATGTCCTGTATCTCTGAGTTGTCCAATATGGAATCTACGAGACACGTAAATACTTGAGGAGGTGCGAATGTAGCTGAGGATATGACTTTTTCAAGTTCTGGCTAACGACACTGGAAATAAAAGCCTAGAGCATTGGTCACTCAGGAGGATGCTTACAGTCACAGACACACAAAGACTTTGAGGGCCATCTGTGCATTGATTCACAGGGCTAGTGGAGAGCTAGGATGAGTGGTGCTCATTTTCGGACAGGGTTTCCAGAGCCAGAGGAGGGTTTCGGGGTAGGGGGAGCTGAGGGCCCAGGCCCTTTCTGGGCACCTGCCGGCTGCACAGTCCCTTTCTTTTTGGGGACTGAGAGCTTGTTCTTGAACACTTTGCTGGGGTCCAGCTTGTTTACGAAGGACTCACTCTCTTCCGTGAGCAGGTCTGTGTTGTAAGTGACAGGTTTATACATACTGAACCATTGCTGTAGGAGGGAAGTGGAAAAGAAAGTCAAATTCAAAGGAAAAATCCCATTTTTGTGCTTTTTAGTGTGAATACAGGGGAAGAGACACAAACTGACATTTCCTAAACCAAATCTTTTGAGTGTGAGCTGGTAAAGTATGTGTGATCATTAAGAAACAAAAATCTGCAAAATCGGAAAGATTTCAGTTACGGAATACTCAACTTATCTATATTTTTATGAAAAACTGCCTTCCACGCTTACTTGCTCTTCGTTAAGAGAAAGCGGTGGCAGATCCGATCAACTCTTGGTCAGGCACTTCATGAGGCCTCTAAAATAAACACAGTAGGAGAGCCAAGAATCGAACCTCCTTCCTTCTGACCTAGTCAGTCCACCAGGGACAGATGGTGCCATCGGGGCATGCTGGCAGCAGCGTCCCTCCATCAGTTGTGACAGAGGTGAGCGCAAGACCTTTCCTCAGGGTGAGGTGTGTGCTGGTGTTCTGGAAAGCCATTAGTCAAAAGGACATCCAAAATTTTGGTGTTTTTTAAAATCACAACTGCCTCACAACACTGGCCAGATAGAAACTGTTCTTAGACGACATTTGAGGAAAAGGAGGCCTGGTGTGTATCTTGCACAGCTGAGGTGGAACGGAGTCCTCTAATGTCTTGCTAACTTAGTGCTCTGGGAAATTGTATGATTTCTTTCTGACCAGACCACGCAGCAGAAGTTCTAGCCCTTGCTGGTTTTCAAGCCAGGCAGCAGAAGCCCAGCATTTGGTTGAAATGACGCCCAGATCTCAACTATAAATGGGAAGAAAGCTCTGTGCACTGATGGGGAAGAGCTCCACAACCAAGTGTTAAGTAGACAGTGCAGAACTACTTCCTACATTTGTGAGGTAGCAAGAAGTACAAAGAGAACAGGCATTAATGCCTTCCATGCAAGGAGCATCTCAAGAAGGCGTGCAAACTGCCAACAGCACCTGCCTCACAATGTTCAGAAGAGCGCAGAGTCATTCATTTGAATGACTCATCTTCCACACCTTGTCTGAACTCTTGTTTAGCTTACTAAGCTCTGCAGGAGAGGAGGCAGCAGACCTTCAGTCTTTCCAAGTGCATGTAGTCAACCCAATAAACAATCAACTGGGCCTAAGCCCTCAATAACATTTAATTAAAAATACCTTCCTTGTTGATTCTAATGACATATTAGAATCACTTGTCATACTTATTGAAAATATAGGTTCTACCCCAGATAGCTTAATCTAGATGGATGATTTGGGAATTTGTAACCACTTCCACGGGAGACTTTTGATTCATGTCACATTTTGAGATGGCAGGTGTTCTCTGCTTACCTTGGCCTGTGGGCTGATACCATAGCTGGTGAAGGCATACTGCCACTGGGGCAGGCCCAGGTGGGTGATGAGCAGGCGATAGTAGGCAGTAAAGGTATCTGTGAGAAAATGCCAGTATAATGCTCTGTCCAGGAACCAGATCTCAGTGTCATGAGGTAATCCTACAATACACACAAAGAAAAAAGGGTCACCTTCACGTTTTTCCTTTTAACTGAAATGTCAATATACACTCATGGTAAGGAGAAACCCAACAGTAGAAATAACATAAAAGTTCCCTCTTTCCCCCTCTAACCTCCTAGTCCTACTGTCCCATGGCTTTTACCGGTTTCTGTGATACTCACAGATTACTGATCCATCACTCAATGAATCTATCTGTTTACTCTGACCATCTGGCAGTACATTAAGGCTGCCTTAAGCAGATGTTCCTGCTCTGTAGGGACCCAGCATTCCATCTCCCAGGGGTATAGCTTTTCTGATGGAGAGAAACTCTGATGGCTCTAGCTTTTTTGAAGACATCTCTCAAGAATCAAAAGAGCTGGGGAAAAAGAACCCCCTGGAAGAGCCCAGCTCACCTCACTCTTGCAACCCTGCTTGTGCTGGCATGGGATGTCCTGGGCCCGCCGTCTTCTGCCTCACACTCATCTATGGTCTTCTATCTCTACCCCTCAAGCCTACCCTGGCTCATCTGTCTAGATTGTGTACCATCACCAAGGGTTTTCCATCTAGTCTCTTGCTTCTCCAACACTACCTGTCACATTTTCATTTGAATGACTCTCTCATCTTCCACACCTTGTCTGAACTCTTGTTTGGCTTTCTAAGCTCTGCAGGAGAGGAGGCAGCAGACCTTCAGACTTCTCCTCCTCCCTTAGGTGAACCATTTAGCTTACTAAATGGAAACGGTCCTTATTCCCAATCAGCTTTCTCATGACTTGGCTTTTAGCCATGTGTCCCTTTCAGCCCTCCCCCATATCTAATTTGTCATAGTTCATGATGGAGCTGAGAAGCCTCTACATGGAAATGACCTTTCCTCTCCAGAGGTAAATTCTGGTGCTTATACCTCTTCACATCGCTAGACAGAAAGCTAGCTGAGGAGCCTTTGGCCTCATCTAGCTCTAGGTTTACAGTCCTTAGGCCTGAACTGCCCTGGGGCGGGGCGGGGCAGGGGTGCAAAATGCCTCCCTAGCAGCTGCCACCTGCTCCACTTGCTCCTGACGCTCCATGTGGAGGCTGAACTCTAGTAATTCAGGGGTCTATTGCTCTTAGTCTACATATAAAAGTATACAAGAAAATGGGTTTCCTGGACGCTTATCTAATGCTTGACACTATGTCCAGAGTGAGGAGTTCTGTACGCTTTTACTTCTAATATCTAATCTCATTGGCTGTTTTGCCATGACTCACATAAGAGATGGGTAAGGGACTATAGAAATCAGCTTAGTTGGGGGATGCAGAGAGGACCAAAGGTGCTTTCTGGGAAACCTGGAAGCATCTCAGGGAGCCTGCTGTGTTGGCTAACAAGCATGGTCAGGCAAGACAAGACTACCTCCGAACTGTGGGACGATGTTAGAAATGACTCTTACCTGGTTTCCCATTTTTGTAGACAAGGCAAACCTTCCCATTCCCATTGCATGAATCTAGCTCAAATATTACACTTCGAGAGTCAAAGTGAGGCTTCTCTGGCTGGTCTTCATTGCCTGGAAACCCAGAAATTAATAGTAATGTTCCAAACAACTCATCTCAGACACAGGACTTTACATCCACCTCTGCTAGGATGAAAAAAAAATAGCGAAGTCTATATTCTAAGTGCCCTGGGTCTCACTAAATGTAATGATTAGCCCTGCTGCCTGGCTCTCTCATCACCAACAGACACTATATTATTTTGCTTCTCTACTGCCGTGATAAACCACCCTGACCTAAGACAGCCTGGAGAAGAAAGGGTTTATTTGGCCTACAGCTCACAGTCTATCATTGTGGAAAGCCAAAGAGGAACTCAAAGTAGGAGAAGAAAGGGTTTATTTGGCCTATAGCTCACAGTCTATCATTGTGGAAAGCCAAAGAAGGAACTCAAAGTAGGAATCTGGAGACAGGAACTGAAGCACAGACCACTGAGGAATGCTGCTTGCTTACTGGCTTGCTCCTCTGGCCTGTGCTCAGCCTGCTTTCTTATATAATCTATCATCTCCTGCCCAGGGGTGCCACCACCCACAGTGGGCTGGACCCTCCCACATGACTCAACAATCAAAAAAGTACCTCACAGACATGCCCACAGGCCAGTCCAAAAGAGGAAATTTCCCAACTGAAGCTATCCGGCATAGACACTGTCAGGAATCTGACATAAGATGACAACTGAATTTCTTTTATTTTAAAGATTTACTTAGTGTATGAGTGCTTGCATGTATGTATGTGTATCAGGTGACTGTCTGGTGCCCATGGAGGCCAGAAGAGGGCACTGGATCAGTTATAGACAGCTGTTAGCCACCTTGTCAGTGATAGGAACTGACCCTGAGTCAAACACTCTTAACCTCTGAGCCATCTCTCTAGTCCCAAATTTATGTGTGTGTGTGTGTTTTGCTTGCATGTAATGTAAATGTACCCATGTTATGTAATCCCCTCTGAGGCCAGAAGTGGGTATAGGGTCCCTTGGAACTAAGGATGGCTGTTAGCCACCATGTGGGTGCTGGGAACTGAACCTGGGTCCTCTGCCAAGAGCAGCCAGTGCTCTTAACCACTGAGCCATCTCTCTAGCCCTCAACTGAATTTCTTGAGAATGGGACCACATAAAGCCAGAGAAGTCTGAACGATGGGACTGTATGAAAACGGGGCACCGTTTACATCTCACTCTTGATTTCTATGCAGTAACTCTGCAGAAAGCCCTAGTCATGTAGTGAACTGATTCACTCCTTTTAGTGGCTGTATCATAATTTATGCCTCTCTTTCCATAGATATGCATTTATGTCACCACCTGCTGATGCAAATTCTAAAATGTGTCAGTTCAGGATCAGTTTGTATTTCCCTGCCTATCTTCCTGTCCGGTACTTTGACTGCATTCCAGGAACTGCTAATGTTGCACTGCTGAGTGCTAACGTTCTCCATTTCTCAGTATTCTTCAGCTCCGTTCTCAGACACAGTGAAGTTACCTGGAAGCAAATACTTTGGGCTTTTAAGATTTGTCAGGCAGAAGCAGGGTATGGTACAGCCTGTAATACTAAAACTTGGAAGGTAAAAGACCAAGAGTTCAGGGTCACTCTCAGCTATATTACAAGTTCCAGGCCAGCCTGGGCTACATGGAACTCTGCCTCAAAAAAACTAATTTTTGGTCAGGATCAGTGGGATCAAAATAGTATTTATCTAAGGCTAATCATTTCCCACTACTAAAGCAGGCAAAGCCTTTCTGAGTATTCTAATCTCTGTGAGTCACAAGGTCCTGCAGCTGTCTGACCCAATAGAAGGTACTGACCATCATCAGAAGCTAAGGGCAGTATTTGAATTCTTTGTAGCATCGCTGCTTTCAGTGCCTCCCTGAACGTCAGCTTGGTTTTCATCTCTATCAGTACGAAGGCAGCGTTTTAAAGCCTACTCTTGGGCTCCTCTTGTGTCTCCAACCTTCTAATATGGGTTCGCTCTTCTTCATGAAGCTGAGTTTCTTCTGGTTCCTTCATGTTTTTTTAGTAAAAATTACTTTCTGAAAACTTACTTATAAAAAAAAAATCCAGGCCTAGGGTAATGTCATCTCTCACTTTATATAAATGCTTTGAGATATAGTTAACCACAGTCAGCACTCATTTCAGAACACTTTTCTAGAAGGAATCTTTGTTGTATCTTCCAAGGCTCTGAGGAGATTAAGAATCTAGACCACTTCAGTATGATCTGGGGCTCTAACACCTGTCTGAACTCTCGCTGCGCTGCCTTGGTTGACCTGGGCTTGCACTGGAACACAGATGGCTTGCACCCAAGCTTTGGTCTGTGGAAGGAGCTGTTGCTTCCTCCCGCCTCCTGGGTGCAGTGTTTCAGTGCCAATCCACAGGAGGGTGGTTTTTATAGGTGCAATCTTTCGCAGGCCCTAAAATCCCCTTCACTCCTTGGCTCACAGACAGGTCGTGTCCGGTTTGTCAGCGTATTACCACTGCTTTTGAGAAGGGCCGACTAGCAACCCAGGCAACTCCGTAAATCTTCCCTGGATGTCACTCTGGCTTTTACCACATCACGTTGTTGGCTCTTAGGTGCTTTGAGGAAGATTTTTTTTTTTTTCTGGTCTTTCTGAGACAGGGTCTCTCTGTAGCCCCAGCTGGCCTGGATTCACTATGTAGACCAGGCTGGCCTCGAACTCACAGAGATCCGCCTGCCTCTGCCTCCCAGTGCCGGGATTAAAGGCGTGCACCACCACGCCCAGGGAAGAAGATGATTTTTAAATCTTATTCCACGTCTCAGTCTCTGGCAGGAAGGCTGCTCTCAATCACCCACTTGCCGCCACCTGAAGAGGAAGTTGCTTTATCAGTTTAAGAATGCAGGCAAGTCTGGATTTTATTTTGATTCCCTGTCATTTATTATGACTGACCTGAGTCATCTTATTCCCCTCATCTTAATGCTGTGTTTCTTATTTTTCCTCTTCCTCATTTCTGTTCAGGATTCCCCTTATTTGACGGGAGATGTCGGAAATAGTTTTTTATTCCTTTAGTGGGTCAAAGTTGCTGACAGTAAGATGAAGTCATCCTTGTCTACCCCAAATTAGAGCTGGCCGGTCCTGTAACGGGTCGCTTATGCTTGTGAGTCAGATGAGAACTGCTGCGGGGGACTCCCGAGTCATGGGTGCTCTTTTCCAATACACATGCATCTCACATCCCACTCATTTCCCACCTATTTTTCTGTATTAAGCTTTACTATAAACTCTTCAAGACTGCAGAAATTCAGATACGTTTGCTTCGCAATGGCCTTCGGCCTGCTGTACGGGCAGCTTATGTGACTTCTCTTTGTCTTTAAAAGCCTCCCCGAACCTGAACTCTGGGCATACCTGTGGCTTTACCAGAGCCACAAGCCAAACTGGGTTTCTGCCACATACTCCCAAATAACATTTTCTAAGAGCCGTTGTCTCTGCTGTTATTTTAAGTGGAGGACCAGTTTCTGTTTTTTCTTTTCCCTCTGCTTGCATACTTAGATCCATTTCACTACTTTAACTGAAAAGAACGTATCAGTATTTCCTTAGCACAAAATTCTGTGAGGGCACTGAGATTACTACCGCCAGTGATCACCTCACAAGATCCTCTTTCCTTAGGGTGGTTAGTAGCTGTGAACATAACGGATAGTCATTCCTTCTACCACACTGGGGATCATTCCTTCTACCACACTGGGGAAGAAGTTTCCCACTAGCTTAGAAGTAAGCTGCCATGTTGGAAAGCGGCTAGTTCTCAAGAACAGCCATCGGGTGCTGAGCATGAATCCTGGCTCAAAGTCAGAAAAGAAACAGGAATCTGAGTCCCACAATGGCAAGGAACTAAAAACAGCCAACCACAGTGGGTTGGAAGAGGCTCCGATGACTCAGATGAGATTAGTGTCAGCCAACAACTGATCGGTGAGCAGGGTTTAGCTAGAGGTTAGTTAGGTCCTTTGCTTAGCTATGGTGCCAGGGTACTTAGCTAAGGAGAGGACTGAGCTACGCTATAATGAATTCTTCACACAGGGAAACTGCTACTAAACAAAACCGACAATGAAGTTGTACAGTCTCACGCCATTAAATAATAATGTGACGTCTGTCATGGCAGGAATAGGAGGCTGACACACCAAGGCACCCCATTTCCTCCAATACGGTATGAGATTTCTTTGCTACTGTGAAGGGAGCCCTTTCACTTCCCTAACCTTTCTTCATTCTCCAGCAGGAGGTCCACGGAAACCAGTGTGTTGATTAGAAAGGGCTCTGACAAACTAAGCGGCCTGAAAGGAAGTTACTGCCTCACAGATCTGTCGGCCAGAAGTCTGAAGTCAAAGTGCCCACAGAGTCATTCCTTCTGAGGGCTGTGGGAGGAATGTTCCAGCCTGCCCTACTAGCTTTTGGTTCCTTATAGGGGTGGGGTGTGTGTGTTCTTGGCTTACAGGAAAATCACCACTACCTTTGCCTTCATCGCCAAATGGCACTGTTCTCATGTGCCAAATCCCTCCTTTTATGAGGTTCACCCTGTTCTAGTATGTTCCCATCTTAATGGAATCTGCAGTTTGGGAATATTTCAAGTCCTGAGAGTTACAATTTGAATTTTTTTTTCAGGAAGCAGGGTAAATTTAACTTATAAAACTTTAATCTGGCCTTCTCACCTTGCACAAAAACAGAAGAAAATTCTTTAAAATATGCTTTGTATTTTGTTCAAAAGGTTCCTATATAAAAGTTATATATAACATTCCTAGATCCTATGACTTGCTTATAACCTGAAAGGTTTGTTTACTGTGTATATACAGGACTCTCGACTTTCATTCCTTTTCTCTGAATGATTCCTAGTTTCCACGACTGAACATAAGCAGCTTGATGGGAATGGGATTATCATTTCTTCAAAACTATTTTTGCCTGAAGCTTATCATTCTTCCCCCCACATCAGAGGATGTACTGATGTCTAGGGTTTTTGCCAGTTCTTTCAAACTGGTCACTAAAATTCCTTTTATTAAAATAAGATTTATTTTACTTATGTGCACCACTTGTGTGCAGGTTCCCTGAGAGGCCAGATGGTGTGAAGATTCCTTGGAACTGGAGTCACAAGCTGTTGTCAGTCACCTGATGTGGTGTTGGGAACCAAACCTGGGTCCTCTGCAAGAGCCATCTCTCCAGCCCCAGTTTTCTTTTGCGAGTATTTTACTTCCTGCCTTTCCTCCCTGGCCTGCGATCCTAATGAAAGGTCTCCTGGACCCGGTCTACTTTTCAGACTTTCCTATCTCGTCTCTTCCAATTCACTCTTTAGAATTCAGTTATCTGTGCTGTGCAGAGTTTCTTCTTGCTCGTATTTTCCAGGCCAAATCCAGTGTCAATAATATTTATACTGTTCTTGTTTCTGCTGAGATTTTAATCTGTGTCCTCCGGCAGTTTTGGTTCTCTGGCTGTGTATTATGACATTTCTGGTGACTGTTCCAACGTGCTCTGTCGCTGAGAATCCCGAGAAAAGCAGTATTTTTCCACTAGGGTTTGTTTGTTTTTGGTACAGAATCTCGATACGTGGCCCAGGGTCATCTTGCATTTACTCTGTAGCTCATGTTAGCCTTGAACTTACTATTTTTCTGCCTAACTTCTTAGGTGTTGGGATTACAGGCACATACCACCACATCCAGCCTCTATTTAGCCTTTAATAAGACTGAGGTTGGGTTATTAAGACTACTGTAAAATGCATGAGCCAGGCTGAGGGGTTTTATATACACAGGTATGTAAGCCCTGTGGCCCCTACCCCTAGCTCAGTTCTTTTGCCAAGATAGCTTCTCTAGGCTGCTTTTTGTCTTCTGGCCTCAAGGGCAGGGAAAACCTACACTGCTTGTTACCTACTTCTCTGCCATCACACATGGGGATTAAGCCAGTGTGACCATTCCCACCCCAGGGGATCCCATAGCTTTACGGGCCAGGCTCTTGCCAGACCCATCACTTAGCGAGGCCCTGTCCCTGCACTCCTCTGGCACTGTTCTCCCCTTGCTCATCTGGTATGTGAGGAGCTGCACATCACTGCCCTTGGCTAGGACTTCAGTAAATCCTCAAGGCTTACCTGCTGGTTGTGTAGTTACTATCCATCCTCCTTTTCTTAAATTCTAATTCTACACGAGGAAATAATACTGTACAAGTAAAAATTCTCCCTAAGACTCCCTTGCAGCTAGGAGTAGCTCTTGATTCTGTTCTGTTCAATGGTTTGTGAGAACATTACTGTTGTTCTGATAAAAAGGGAGAGATGTGTCTGAGATCCTGTCCTACCCCAACCCCTTATCTTTTTCTCTTCTTGTACTTTTGAGCACAGACTTGAAGCCTGGAGGTACAGCCTGCATCCCTCAACTATGAGAAGGAAAAAAAATCTAATACCCTAAAAGGCTGGTGCAGCAAAAAGGCCAGAGAGACTGTCTTATCAGCCATACCACCTTCTTTACAGAGTTCTTATGAGAAAAATGAACTGCTATTTAGTTCAAAAACAGTATAATTCAGTCTGTAGCAGCTGAACACAAGTCTAACTAAAGAAGCCTTTACTGATAAGGCTTTAGTAGCTATCTGATGGATGAACTACTTTATTCTCAAGTGGCAACATGATTAGAGATAGGAAGAGAGAAAACAGCTGTGGTCAGACTGCCCTGTTCCCTGAACCCTGTTTTCACCACGTAGTCTCACTGACTCTGAACGCATGAACCTTTTGCTACAGATAGATGGTCAAGTACTGAGATCTCGTGTGTTGACATGTCTGGTCCCCTGAATTGTCAAGTGACATTTCTAACATTTACTCACTCAACAATTCCTAAGTGCCCACTATTAGCCTGGCACTAAACTGGGTATAGGGACCAAAAACAAAAAAAGACCCCAACCTGGCTTTTACCTTCATGGAAGGAATTTCCCTTGCTGATATGGGCTGGTTTTGATCGCCTTTCCCTCCAGCTTATCCCCAGATGTTCCTGAAGCTGGGTTGGAAGAGCTTTGGTTCAGTGGAACATATAATGCCATGGCATCTTCCTGTGGCTTCAGTATGTGGAAAGGAGACAAGGAGGCCAATTTCTAACCCAAGGCAGAAGCCCCAGCAAGTACCTTCATCATCATCCTCTAGGTCTGCCAGCGTCGGTGCGTTAGGAAGTGAATACAGGGAAGACTGGCTGAGCTGAGTCAGCTTTGAGATGCCGTTGATAACCATGCTCCCCAGTGGGATGATGTTCTCTATGGGATCAGAGAAAAGACTGACATGAGAACAGCTTGGTCACAGTGGTCACCATGCTCATTTCTGCTTGAATAACACAAACAGCCCATCAACTGGCCTGTGGCTGAGAATCTGATGGAAAGTGTGCACACGATCACTCTCTCTGTGTCCCAAGATCAGCCTTTCATGAAAACAAAAACTGGGGGCAGAGGTGCTGTGCAGCCCCTACCATGTTTATTACGGGGCCACTAAAGAAAAAGCTTTAAAGGGGCACTACAGAAAGAGCTAGAAGAGCTCAACTTAGTAATTCCATTTGAGGAGTAAATGGCTCTAAAACCTTTTTATTCTCTCGTTTCAGCCAGAACTCAGTGACTTATACTTCCCAATGGAATAGGAGCTTTGACTGTGTAACGTACCCTTTTCTTGTAAGCTTTCAGGATGGAGAACTCCCTCTCCCTCTGTTACTCATTTTCCTACTTAGTAGAGAGCCTGGCAGCCTCCTTGTCTGTTGGTCTACAGTCTTTGTGAATAGGGTATGACTAGGGAACTAGTAAGACTGCGTGTTTCCTTACCCATCAACACAGAGCCTTGTTGGACACAGGCTGCCATACAGAGACTTAAAATCTGGAAAGGCAGGAATGCGTGAAGGCGATAAAACAGCTGATATAGAGATCATGGAACATCCAGAAAAAAAAAAAATCACTAAAGTAAACATCAGAGGGTGCATCCGATGCCTCTTGAAAAATATTTACTTTAAAAAGATTTATTTCCTTTTTATTTATGTGTGTGTCTGCCAGGTGCCCAATGGAGGCCAGAAGAGGACATCAGGTCCCCTGCAGCTGCAGGCAGCCATGAGCTGCCCCACATGGGTGCTGGGAGCTGAACTTGGGCCTTCTGGCAGGGCCGTGAGTGCTCTTAAGTGCTGAGCCATTTCTCCAGCTCCCTGTTGCCTTTTTTGTCACAGAGTTACATTAGTAAAAAATGGTGTCAGCTTCATAGAAGGAACTTGGGAGTTCTCCCTCTGTGTTTAAAAAAAAATGGTGTCGGGCATTGTTGGGGAACCCTGCTGCTAGGGTTGTAGTCCTCCATGTCCTGATAGCTCTAAGGGGCTCAGCGCTATATGGAAGGACTCCCCTTCTCAGCAGGGGGCCTCCTGCTTTCTGCCTGACCTTATTTGGAACATGACCTTTGGCATAGATACCTGGAGTAAAAACCACCCCCAGGTTTTTTTCTATATGATAATCAGGCATTGCCTGGTAGTCGGATGATAGGAGCCCACTGCCACATGTAAATAAAGCATAGTATGAGCACCTATCAGCTGAAGCATTGGCTACTGCCTCCACACTATATTTTCCCTGACCCTCACTGAAAACAGAGCTGTTTCACTGAGTCTGGAGCTGTTTGCATCACTGAACCTGCCTCCCTGGAAGGGCTTTCTTCCGTCAGTGCTCACTGGCCATCCTGACCCCGTTCATCACTTCTGCTCCCTTTGTCCTCGTGGACCAGTGGCCAACGACCCACGAGGAGAGAGCGACCCCACAGGGTATGGTGGCACACACCTATAATCCCAACTTTCAGGAGGCAGAGGTAGGTGGATCTTTGTGAGATAGAGGTTAGTCCAGTCTGCATAATAAGTTCCAGGCCAGTTGGGGCTACAGGGAGACCCTGTCTCAAAAAACAGCAAAAAAAAGAGTGGTTATAGTCATGAGGATAAAAAGACCAGGACTGAAAAATTAAATAATAAAAGACATTATAATTATTAACAGGAGCTATTTCATAAAATATTCATGAAACATCTCCTTTAAGGTAGGATTGTTAAGGGGCTAGCCTGCTCCCATGTCCCTTGTCTATTGCTCCAGATTCCAAAGGCCATGGCTATGCTGTAAGAGAGACTACCTGGCTGGTGACAGATGGTTTCAGGCCACAAATGAAAAGCTATAAAAAGTACCCCTGGTTAGCTACAGGAGTCAGATAGGAAGGCTCTAGAAATCATGCAAAGGCAATTCAGCTGTGCATGCAAGAGGCAGAGGCATGAAGGGGGAGAAGTCAGCTGTGTAGATACTCTGTGCCACAGAAGTCACCCTCCTAAACAGCATTGAGGACACAGAGGTGCTTCCTAAAGACAATGGGGATGTGGCCGGAGTGAGAAGCAACAAAAGCCACCAGAGGTAGGGGCTGGCAAGTCTGTGCTAGGAATGAGCTGGCAGAGTTGGCCAGCTGTTGTAAGGAAACTAGAGGCTATTGTTGCAGCTCTAAGGGGCAGGTCTCAGAGATTTTAAGCTTGAGTTGGTTGGGTTCTCTATGAGGTGACTGATGTTTTCCTCTAACAGGAAGCCTCTAAAGTAGGTTTCCAGAGCAGTACCAGCCAGACTCTGGAACAGGGTGGCAGGAGGTGAAGGCACTGATGGTATCTGTTCACTTTGGGGGGAAAAATAAAAACCAGATTCTGGATTTGACACTTGAGACCCACAAAAACCACACAGCCACAAAGATATTAAAATTCTAAGGACCTTCCGACAGGCCTCCTCCAACCTCTCCACCAGGGAAATGCTCTCCAGCAGCAAAGGCCGACTCACCATCTAGCTTCACATTCCACGTCATACGAAAGCCATTGGTCATCAGGTAAAAGTTCCTCATGTCCTCAGGCATCACACAGTTGTTTTTCTAGAATCAAAAATTGCTGAGTGTTAGGTTAGGCTTGGAACGAGGGCTCAGGGCTATGTCTCAAAGAACTGGGGATAATATTTACCTTTCTTTAGGTCCCTGAAATGGGAAGATTGATAATTACCTATCAGATTACTACAGAAGTACCGGGGTCAGCAAGCAGTCACTAGTTTGACTTGGTCTACGTATGTGACTCGGTAAAGCAGTCCAGGATCTGGCATGACATATTAGCTGAAGAGGAAGCTGAAAGGGGGTTAGCTAAAAGGAGGCGTGGGAATCTGGGAAGAGCAAGTCCTGGTAAAATATGACACCATTAGAGCATATTGCCAAGGATTTCAGATCCATGCACATGTATTATTTTCTCAAACAAATCACTGGACAAGAGAACCCGTTAAAGTGAAGAGTACGTATTTCCAGAGCATTTAATACCATGAACCTGTTTGAATTTTTCTGATGGATCTTAGCAAAGAAGACTACTAATAGGATATACAAAAATATTTCATGACTAAAAAAAAAAGAAAATCACCCAAACTGGTGGTACACAGAACAAAGAAAGAGCTTAGTGTTTTTTTGAGCAAGCCCTAAATTCTAACACAGGTCTAACAGGCAGACCTGTGTTATAGGCCTGGTTAGTCCCCTCTAGTCAAGTGCAGAGAGATGAATTCTGCAGGTCCTTTTTGAGCTTCTACAGTGACTTCTGAGATGGTACAGAAACAAGAGGGCACCATATTAGTAACTGTCCAAACTCTGGGCTTCTTGGACCCTGCTAGGATGTGACACTGAGCACTGTTTGTGCTGTTCACTTTGGGTCATATTGTCAGTTCTAAGTGTAGAGATACCACAAAGGACAATCTGAGCTCACTTTCCAACTCTGCCATTAGCTGAGGGCCTTTGAACACTGTCACTTAAAGTCTAGGGAGAAAGTTACAAACACGAGAGGTGGGGGGTTACAGCCTGATAGGAGAGAGACAGGACTGAAAAGTTTATGATTTCAGGTCATATGAGTTCGACATTACTGAGCAGACGGTAGCTTTCATTTTACTGAATCAAGTTTCTAATTTCCTTTAAGAACTTGACTATACATTCTGCTTAAGTTTCTGGTTTTGCTTTGTTGCTTTGCTTGCTACTAGCTACTTCCCAATCTTACTTAGGGATTTTAGACTGTGCTACTTTATTTCCTACCAAGTTACCCTGAGTAGGACTTGACTACACTGTCCTCTGCTCATGAAACTTTCACACAGGAAGACAGCAGTTAAAAGTGTTCTCTTAAGATCTTTGCTCCTGTAGGGGCTCCCAAAAGGCTAGAAGCCATGGTACGTTTTGCTCACTGGTGCCATCTAGTGGTGGAGAAATGGAACCTGCAGTATTCTAGGCCTTGGGGGGTGGGGGTGGGCACCAGCAGAAATCTGGAGCAGTCAGGGTGCTATTCCTCCCTGGGCCCCCCGGGTCTCACTCTGTAGCCCAGGCTGGCTTCAAACTCATGATTCTTCTGCCTCCGTCTCCTGCATTGCTGGGATTACAGCCCGCATACCATGCTCACCCAGCTCTTCCAGCCATTCTTAATGGAGAGTCTTGACCTCCCTTAGGTTTTCTTCCTGCCTTGAACTCTAGGTGACAGGCATGATTCTATCAGTCATCTGGCCAACACAAAGACAGAAGGCAAAAGAATTACACAGCTAAGGGCTTCACATTATCAGGACTGATGAACCAACTTAAACTGCCCTCCTCAAGACTTCTTACATGAAAAATATTCTATTTGCTTAAGCTAATGTTAGCGTAATTTGCGTTTTCTTGAGCCAAATAAGTCCTTAATTTATACAGAGACAAACATGCAGCAGGTGTTATATAGCTATGGCAAGTGAAAACCATAAAGGGTCAGAGAGAAAGAAAAACCAGGAGAGTGGTGGTACTTTAGTATCCAAAGGAGCTCTGAATATGCAAATGGCTCACCAGAGGTGCATGGCACATTACCCGCCAAGTGAAGGACCAAAACAAAGAAAACCAAAAGTCATTTTGCTGGTGAGGAGTACTAGGGCACAGTGGGTGAGATGCTGCAGAGAACAGGGAAACATGATCTTCTCCTACAGTCTCCTACAGGAGCCAAGAATCCCTGCCATTCCATTTCCAGGTCAATCTAAATCAGGATGGACCCTGTTGTGATAGCTGTGGTAGTCGGAAAGAGAATGCGCCCCATAGGCTGCAAGTATTTGAATATCCAACCCCAATCGGTGGCCTTTGAGGGTAAAGCCTAGAAGGTGCAGCCGGGCTGAAGGGAGCCTGTCCTGGGGCGAACTTTGAGAGCTTGCAGCCTAGTCCACGCCTAGCTCTGCTCTCTGCTTTGGTGCCTGCGTGAAGACTGTGAAGACCAAGCACTCAGCTTCAGCTCCTGCCACCTCCCCTGCCACGATGGATTTGTACCCCGAACTATAAGACCAATAAACGCTTCCTTCCATAAACTGCCTTGGCCATTTTTTTTTTCTAATGAAAGCAACAGAAAATTAACATGATAGAGAAAAAGTAATAATCAGGAGGCAAGGTGCAATACCCACTATGCCCAGACATCTGAGGCAGGTATTACTAAAGAAGCCCACCTTAGCAGCCTCTGGGTTTGGTTTGGGGAACTCTTGGGTTACCACGCGCCCCAGCAATGCCTGAAGAAAGCACAGCACAGGTTGTGCTCGCACCCAACCCAGCTCCTGCCGAGCAGCAGCATCTGTCTACCAGTAGATCTAAGGAAAAGAAAAGCGATTTATTGCTTTGTAAATAATTCAAATGCATCTTTTTATTATTATTTTTGTCTTTTTGAGACAGGGTCTCCCTGAGCCCCAGCTGACCTGGAATTAGCTATGTAGACCAGGTTGGCCTTGAACTCACAGAGATCCACCTGCCTCTGCCTCCCTAGTGCTGGGACTAAAGGCGAGCGCCACCACGCCCAACTCAAATGCATCTTTTTAAAGGAAATTTTATGAGATTCAAGTTATGAATAAGAAATTCAGCAAAGAGGTAGAGATCGTAAGAAAGAACCAAACAGAAATCCTGGAGCTAAAGAACTACATAAATGAAAAAATACAGAAAAGAGTCTTAACAGCAGAATAGATCAGGCAGATTTTATGAGTGTGAATACAGATATTTGAAATAATCCCAACAAAATTACAAGGAATGAAAATAAACTTCAAGGCTTATAGGGTACTATGAAGAGTACAAATTCTTATATAACAGGTGTTCCCAGATAACAATGAAATAATTTCTGAGAACTCCCCAAACCTTGGTACAGATGCTGACATCCTGGTCTAGGAAGCTCAAAGGACTCCCGAGGCATTCAAACAAGAAAACGAATCAACTACAAGGCATATTATAAGCAAACTACCAGAAGTATAAGAAACAAATTTTAAGAACAGCAAGAAAATCAGTGTGAGGGCTGGAGAGATGTTCAGTGGGTAAAAGCACTGGCTGCTCTGCAAGACCCGAGTTCAATTCTCAGCACACATGGCAGCTAACAACCGTCCGTAACTCGTTTCAGGGGATCTGATGTCCTCTTCTGACCTCAGCAGGCATTGCATGACACAGGTGCACTTACACACATTCAGGCAATACACTCATAAACATAAAATATTTCTAAAAACAAAGGAAAACCAGCTTCACTGGACAGGAGCAGCACCTGGACGCTCAGTAAAGCATAGCTGAGGGTGAGGGTCTTTCCAGAGGACTAACTAAGTGAGGGAGACCCATCTCAAGGTGGGAGGCAATACCTATAGGGTGGGGTCCTGGTGACATAACGGGAAAGCAGCATACCACCAGCACAGGCAATGCTCCTGCTCTGATTCCTGGCCACTACAACATGAGCTGCTCTGCAAGGCCCTACCCGCCATGCTAACTGAAACCTCGGAAACCTTAAGATAAAATTACCTTTTTCTACCTTAAAGTAAAATAAATCCAGCAGCAGACTTCTTCAGAAACCCTATGGATCAAGAAAGAAAGGGGTATGTTCAGAGTTCTAAAAGGAAAAAATGCTAATCAAGAATATTACAGACAGCCAAGATAGACTTTAAAAATTAAGAACTATTAGCCGGGCGTGGTGGCGCATGCCTTTAATCATAGCACTCGGGAGGCAGAGGCAGGAGGATCTCTGTGAGTTCAAGGCCAGCCTGGTCTACATAGCGAGTTCCAGGACAGCTGGGGCTACAGAGAGACCCTGTGTCAAAAAGACAAAAAAAACAAACAAACTATTAAATCTGCTCAAAACAAGTAAAGATTGAGGGACTTCACCACCACTGGACTGGTAGTTTTGGGAGTCCCACAATAGAAGTTTTAACTGTCAACTTGACAGAGTCTAGAGAAAATGATCTAGCTGGACGAACGACTGTCTAGATCAGGGTGGCCTGTGAGCATGTTTGTGGGGGACGGTCTTGATTACTGTTAACCGCTGTGGGGAGACCTAGCTCAGTCTGGGCGCACCATTCCCTAGCAGGGCACCCTGGCGTGTCTAGGTGCAGAGAGGGCTGAGCACAGTGAGCTCGCATGCATTTCCCATTCTCCTGACCCTGGACGTGACCAGCTGCCTCAGCTTTCTGCTCCAGCTTCCCCACAAGGACAGGCTGCAGCCTGGGTTGTGACCTAAAATGAACCTTTTCTCCCCTAAGTTGTTTTTGTCAGGGTAATTTATCACAAAAACAGTAAGGAAACTAAAACAGATAATTACCTTCATAAAAACACATCGACCTTACACACAAGGAACAGCAGAGCAGACACATAAAAGAGTCAGCACTTTGAGGGCAGCAGATCACAAACCACAAGAATGAGCACGAGAGGATGAAATGCACACAGGGTCTAGAAAATGAGCAGAAAAAAACAACTAAAGGAAAGGATTGTCTTTGCTTATCACTGATAACCCTGAAGGTAAAGCATTTAATTCCTCCAATTAAAAGACAAAGGCTGGTCGAATGGGAGAAAATAAACCAAAACATAAATCCAAATTCAATGATAAATGCCTGCTAGACACTCACTTCACTGATGATGACTCTGTGTCTAAAAGTGAAAGTGTGGAAGGTCACAACAATGTGCTGCGGGTTGTGCCCTAGATGCCCGACAGGCTCACAGGTTCACACTTAGTTCTTGGGAGGTGGGGGAAACTTTAGGAGATGGAACCTAGCTGGAAGTCTTAGATCAGTGGGAGTATGTCTGTGAAAGGGTACTGGGACTCCACCCTCCTCTTCCTCTCTGCCTCCCAGTTGCTGTGAGGTGAGCAGGTTTCCTCCCCACCCTTCCAGCTATGCTATGCCACCTTATCACAGGCCCCAGAGCAAATACCAAGACACTAAATCTCTAAAACTGGGAGTCAAAACTTCAAGTCAATTTACTTCAGGTATTCATTACAACAACAGGAAGCTGACCACCCTACCATGCAAAAAAAAAAAAAAAAAAAAAAAAAACCGAAAAGTGAGGAGTAGCTATACTTGTATCAGATAAAATAGACTTTAAGCCCGGCATGGTGGCGCATACCTTTAATCCCAGGACTTGGAGGCAGAGGCAGGTGGATCTTTATGAGTTTGAGGCCAGCATGGTCTACACAGTGAATTCTAGGGCCACCAGCTGGGGCTACAGGGAGACCCTGTCTCATAAAGACCAAAAACAACAACAACAAAAATACTTTAAATAAAAAAATTTGGAAAAGAGATGAAGAGGGTCACTATACAGTGAAAAATTAACCAACTAACCCAACAAGAGGAAATAGTTATAAATAAGTGTGCATTCAATAATGGAATCACTAAAAAAGAAAAACGGGGCTGGAGAGATGGCTCAGCGGTGAAGAGCAATGACTTGCAGAGGACCCGGTTCGATTCCCAGCACCCACAAGGTGGCTATGAGCCGTCCTTAACTCCAGTTCCTGGGGAATCTGAAGCCCTCTTCTGATCTCTGTGGCACTGCACCGACATGGGTGCACTCACATACATGCAGGCAATACACTCAATACATATTAAATAAAAAAAAAAAAATAAAATATTAAAAAAAAAAATCCGTTTAAGAGGAACAGACGGGGCTGGAGAGATGTCTCGGCAGTTAAGGGCACTGCTGCTCTCACAGAGGATGCAGATTTGGCTCCCATGTGGCAGCTAACCCGCAACTCTAGTTCCAGGTGATCTGATGCCCTCTTCTGACCTCCTGGGGCACTGCATGACACAGGAACACTTACAATGCAAGCAATACACTCATATACATAAAATTAAAAAAAAAAAAACAAAGAAACAGACTAAACCAACTAGAGTTAAGTTCTTAATTTTATTAATAGACAGCTTACTTTTATCACTGGACAGGTCTTCTACAAAAATCAATAGTGAAATAGTTAAACTGCACTTCAGACCACATGGACCTAGCACATTTACAGCCCATTTCCACCAACATAGCACATGGAACATTCTCTAGGGAAACAATTTTAAGCAACAAGTCTAAAGAAATTCAAAGGAAATTCTGCCCACAATGGAATAAAATGGAAATCAGCAACAGGAATCTCAGAAATACAAATCCATCACTTAAAGACATTTTCCTAAATGCATAATGAATCAACAAAGAAATCAAAGAGAAATTTAAATGTTTCTTAAAATAGGTGAAAAGTGCTGGGTGTGGCGGCGCACGCCTTTTGTCCCAGCACTTAGGAGGCAGAGACAGGTGGATCTCTGAGTTCAAGGCCAGCCCGGTCTACACAGTAAGTTCCAGGACAGCTGGGGCTACAGGGAGACCCTGTCTCAAAAAGACCAAAAAAAAAAAAAAGGTGAAAAGTAAAAATATAAGTACATTATAAGTACATTAGTTACAAAACCTAAAGAATTTAGCAAAAGTTCTAAGAGAAAAGTTTACAGCAATAAATGCCCCACATATAGATTTCAAAGATGTATCCTAACAATGCAATGAAATGATACGACTAGAAAAGAAAGAACTAATCAATCCCCACATTATTACAAGAAATAAGTATCAGAACAGAAATGGAGGCTTAAAACAGAACACAAACCAAGAGTGAATGAGTTGAGTTTTGGTAAATAATCAAAACTGAAAAAATCTTTAGCTAAAGTAACCATAAAGCAAAGGAAGAGAGAGAAGACTCAGTAGAATCAGAGATGAAAACTCACTACAAGGCTGTCACAGAAACACAGCACTGTTAGGACTGAAAGGCACAGCTGTGCCAACTGTGTGGAACAAGTGGAGGAAGCAGACAAACCTCCAGGCATTTATAAACCATCCAACAGAGAACCAGGAAGACATGGAAAACCTGAACAGACCAATAATGAGCAAGAATGGAGCAGTGATGAAGTCCCGCAGGAAGATGGGGGCTGCACTGACTCACCGGTGACTTTACCAAATAGTAAAAAAAACTCAAAATCAAAAATCAAAACCAAAACTGTTACCATTGCTTCTCAAACTATTCCAATGTACTGAAAGTGAGGCAACCCTTTCAAATTCATTTCACAAGACCAGTATTACCCTGGCAAGGAAACAGGGAAAGGAGGGGTGGGGGAAGGGCAGGGAGGAGACAAGAAGAAGATCTATGCGTAATATCTATGATGGGCCCAGATGCAAAAATTCTCAACAAACTATTGCCAACAACACACCAAAAAGATTATGATCGGGCTGGAGAGATGGCTCAGTGGTTAAGAACACTGAATGTTTTTGCAGAAGACCTGGGTTCGAATCCCAGCACCCACATGGCAGCTAACAACTGTCCTTACCTCCAGTTCCAGGGGATCTGACAGCCTCTTCTGTCCTCTGAGGATATTACACAACACGGGTGCACTTACCTACATGCAGGCAATACACGCATACATACACATATATATTTATATATGTATTTATATATAAATAAATATATATAAAAGATTATGACCAAGTGGTATTTATCCCAGGAATATGAAGATGGTTAAACATATACAAATCAAAAACACACACTACAGGCCAGCAAGATGGCTCATGGGTGGAATACTTGCCATGCAGGCAGATGACCCAAGTTCAGTTCCCAGAACCTACAAGAAGGTGGAAGGCGAGAACCACACATGCACTAGGACCCACATAATAATAAAGTTTAAAAATACATCACACCAACAAAAAGACAAAAGCTGTACTATACGATCATTTCATTAGAAACAGAAAGCAACCAATGAAATTCAACATGTCTTCATGATGAAAACCGCAAAAAACAACCAAACAAAAACCATGTATAACATGAACATGTCTCAATACAGTAGAAGCTATCTCAGACAAACCCACAGCCCACTTGGACCTGGCTGGAAAGCTGACATTGTTTTATTAAGATCGCGAAGAAGAGAGTTCTGCTTCTACCATTTTCATCCAACAGAGTATAAGGAGGCTTAGCCAGCACGTCACGGCAAAAGAAAGAAATCACAAACACTCAGACAGGAAAGAAAGAAGTCAGATTACCTAAAAATCTAATACACACACACACACACACACACACACACACACACACACACAGAATCAGGATTGACAAACAACTTCAGTAAGTTCTATATAACAATTATTAAACCTCTGAGGGAAAAAAAAAATTCAAGAATGCAATCCCATTTACCACCTATAGACTCAATGCAAGTCCTATCAACATACCAAATCTCTTCATAGAAATAGGGAAAAAAAAAAAAATCCTAAAATTTACAATAGTCCCCTATAGTATGGGACTATAAAAGACCAAGCAAATCTTAGCAAACAGAACAAAATTGTAGATACTTGTCTACAAAACATTAAAAATAAGAACATGGTGCTGGCAAGGCTGTACAGACTAAAGGAACAGAACAGAAAACCTGGAAATAATGTGATTGCCAATTTAATAGCTGTCACGGTTGGCTTTGGTTATCGGCTTGACTGACACACCTGGGAAGAGGACACAACTGGGAATTTCTTCAATAGGCGTGGCCTGTGACGTCTGTGTGGCACTGTTGAGTGGTGAGGAAGACCCAGTCCTGTGGGCAGCAATCACCCCTGCGCAGGTGGTTTCAGGACATTGCCTGGGCACAGACATTTTGGATATGATCCTCAAAACACAAGCAATAAAAGCAAAAACTGACAAATGGGATTATATAAAACTAAAAAGCTTCTGGACAGGGTCAGCAAGATGGCTCAGTGGGTAACGGTAAGCTTGCCTCACAAGCCTGAAGACCCGAGTTCAATCCCCAGAACCCATGGTGGAAGGAGAAAACCCTATTCTTCGACCTCCACGTTCATGATGTGGTGCACACGCACACACAGAAAACACACAAACACACACAAATAAACAACAAAAAATTTAAAACCTTCCATCTGCAAAGGAAACAACAGAGTAAAGAAATAACCTACAGAATGATAGAAAACATTCCCCAAACTATTTCTCAAACAAGAGAATAACTTCTAGCACATATAAAGAACAATTCAACAGAAAAAATAAAAAATATGGAGAATAATCTGAACGCCCCCTTCTCAAAAGATGATGCACAAATGGCCAAAAAGTAGATGAAAAATGTCCAACATCCTCAATCATCAGGGAAGTGCAAAGGAGGTATGATTTTGCCCAAGTTAGAATATCTGATCTATTATAAAGACAAAATACAAATGCTGTCAAGGATGTGGAGGAAAAAGGGTCTCTGTTACAATGGTAGTATACAGCCATTATTAAGATATGGGGGTTCCTCAAAAAACTAAAACCACAACTACCGTAAGATCTGGCAATACCACTACTGGGTACGTAATCAAGGAAAACGAAACCTGTGTATAGGAGACATCAATATCTGAAGTCACATGTTTGCTGAGGCACCGTTCACAGAAGCCAAGCTATCGAATCAACATACCATCAACCAGAATAAAGAATGTACATGGAATATTATCCAGCTATAAAAGTAAATGAAATTCCGCCATTTGCAGTAATGAGGACAGAACTGGAGAATACCAGGCTAAGAAACAGGTCAGGCATAGAAAGAAAAATACTATGTGTTCTTTTTTTACGCGGAAGCTAAAAAGTCGATGTCAAAGAAGCAGAGAATATTGGTTTCAGAGCCTGGGAAGGAGGTGGGGCAGGAAGAGATGAAGAGAGGAGAGGCAGAGGTATGGGAGGGGTGATTTCTAATGTTTTATGGCATACTGGGGTAATTACGATCATCTGATCATTCCCAATACAAAGACACACATTTCTGAGGTGAACGTCATGCCAATTCTCCTGGTTTGATCACCGGACACTCTATACATGCACTGAAGTGTCACAGTGTACCACAGTAGTTATGTGTTAGTTAAAAATAAGAACACACTTAAAAATAATGGGAGCTAGTGGAGAAGTGGACAGCAGGGAGACGCACGAGGAGCCAGGTAAACGATCCTGGTCATTCAACAGAGGAGTGCCCAGGAATGAGGGGAAAGACAGGTCATGAGTGGCTAGAGAGCAGCTGCGAAGGGGAAGGAGGGGCAGTGGTTTGGGTTCAGGAGTCAGTAAGCTGTGGGCACTGGCCTCTCCAGCTGTCCCATCACCTGCCTTTGTAGTGAACACTGCTCAGTCATTCACATGCATTTCAGTACTGTGGATGGCTGCTTTCCATGTTCCATGGCAGACATGTGTTGCTGGGACAGACTCTACAGCCACAGAACCTCAACTATCATGTGTCCTTCACAGGAAACACTTCGTGAACCCTGATTTAGACATGTTTTGTACATGCTTTCCCGCCAAGGGAACAAATGGCTGTACAGTTACAGGGGGAAAATTGCTGAACGTTTCTGTTTTAAGTTTTAAAAGAGATGAATAAACTCCTGTCAGGAAGCTGCCAACGCAGTACAGGGAGGAAGCAGAGAAGCCTGGGCAGTACAAGAGGAAAAGCACGAGGTACAGGTCAGTGGTAATTACAATAAAGTCATGGCAGGAGTGTGTGTAGGACAGAGCTAAAGAAAGTTTACAATCTTCTCTGCACACTATTACAAAGAAGGCTGAAAAAGAGAAGGGCTAACCACTTGGCCTGTGAGCTGTAGTTTCACCATCAATACACTGAATGGAGTCTAACCAATCAAGAATTATAAGGGACTCTCTATGAAATGTCACTGAAATGTTTAATTACAATGTAACTCTCCTGGCACTGGGATGCTGTGAGAATTAAAAGGCAGATTCTTTCATTATATCTGAACGATGAAGGGCTAGTGTAAACATTAGCTCTAACCACCATCAGTACGAAAGTAGTCAGGCATAGTGCACATGGATCAGACAAGAAACAAGGCACACAAAAACTGAAAAAAACTGACCAACAGGCCGGATGAGATACATAACAATAAGAGGACATCGGTCACTTTTTCATCCAACCTTAAGGAAATCTATCAGGTATTTCTGTAAGGGACCCTTACACATTTCTGCTGGGAATGGAAACTAGTCCAGCATTTGGAAATCAGGATGGAGGGTTCTCAAAGCATTAACAATAGATCTACCACATAACCTAGCTGTAGCCTGAGTGTTTTCCCAAAGGACACCAAGTCAACACATCACAGATACCTGGACACCACATCAATGCCTGCTGCAGCACTAGTCACAAGAGCTGTTATGAAACCAACCTAGGTACCCAAAAGCAGAGGAGCAGGTGAGGAAGATAGGTGTATTTTCATATATTCTCGTATGTATTCATAGTTTGCATATTTTCGATGCACAATGGAACTTTTCCAGCATAAAGATTAAATTATGTCATTTCAGGGAGAATGGATGCACGTAGAGACAATCATCCTAAGTGAAGGCAGTCTCAAGGAAGACAAACATCATCTTTAGCTTGAGATTCCCGGATTTCACATAGTCATGTGAGATAAGGTGTGAACACAGTAAATGGAAGAAGTGAAAGTGCCTAGGAGGACAGAGATGACAGGAAGGAGGACCAGGAGGACGGAGATGACAGGAGGACCAGGAGGACGGAGATGCCAGGACGGAGGACCAGGAGGACGGAGATGCCAGGAAGGAGGACCAGGAGGATGGAAATGCCAGGAAGGAGGACCAGGAGGACAGAGATGACAGGAAGGAGGACCATGAGGATGGAGATGACAGGAAGGAGGACCAGGAGGACGGAGATGACAGGACGGAGGACCAGGAGGACGGAGATGACAGGGAGCAGGACCAGGAGGACGGAGATGACAGGGAGCAGGACCAGGAGGATGGAGATGACAGGGAGCAGGACCAGGAGGACGGAGATGCCAGGACGGAGGACCAGGAGGACGGAGATGACAGGGGGCACGACCAGGAGGACGGAGATGACAGGGGGCTGGACCAGGAGGACAGAGATGACAGGGGGCAGGACCAGGAGGACGGAGATGACAGGGAGCAGGACCAGGAGGATGGAGACGACAGGGAGCAGGACCAGGAGGACAGAGATGACAGGGGGCAGGACCAGGAGGATGGAAATGACAGGGAGCAGGACCAGGAGGACGGAGACGACAGGGAGCAGGGCCAGGAGGACAGAGATGACAGGAAGGAGACAAGGAGGACGGAGATGACAGGGGGCTGGACCAGGAGGACAGAGATGACAGGGGGCTGGACCAGGAGGATGGAAATGACAGGGAGCAGGACCAGGAGGATGGAGACGACAGGGAGCAGGACCAGGAGGACAGAGATGACAGGAAGGAGACAAGGAGGACGGAGATGACAGGGGGCAGGGCCAGGAGGACAGAGATGACGGGGGCAGGACCAGGAGGACGGAGATGACAGGTAGCAGGACCAGGAGGACAGAGATGACAGGGGGCAGGACCAGGAGACAGAGATGATGGGGCAGGACCAGGAGGATGGAAATGACAGGGAGCAGGACCAGGAGGACAGAGATGACGGGGCAGGACCAGGAGGACAGAGATGATAGGGGGCAGGGCCAGGAGGACAGAGATGACAGGAGACAGAAGAGGCGGGGAGCAGGACCAGGAGGACAGAGATGACAGGGGGCAGGACCAGGAGACAGAGATGATGGGGCAGGACCAGGAGGATGGAAATGACAGGGAGCAGGACCAGGAGGATGGAGATGACAGGGAGCAGGACCAGGAGGACAGAGATGACAGGAAGGAGGACCAGGAGGACGGAGATGACAGGGGGCAGGGCCAGGAGGAAAGAGATGACGGGGGCAGGACCAGGAGGACGAAGATGACAGGGAGCAGGACCAGGAGGACAGAGATGACAGGGAGCAGGACCAGGAGGACAGAGATGACGGGGCAGGACCAGGACGACAGAGATGATGGGGCAGGACCAGGAGGACAGAGATGACAGGGGGCCGGACCAGGAGGACAGAGATGACAGGGAGCAGACACGAGGAGGAAAGGGAATGTAGGGCTGACTGGGAAGAGGACTCGGGGAGGAAACGGGCTGCAGGGAAACAGGATGGGCGGGAATATGCTTAAAACACCATGTGTACCCGTAAGAAGCGGTTTTCAAGGTGCAACACTGGTCACTATGTCTGTTTTATACTCATATGCTCCTTTGACTACAGCAGCTTTGTAAGACTTTGAAGTTCCACAGTGTGATGATGCCCATTTGGTCGGAGTCTTTCATAGTTTCATATGTGTTTTCCGTTGAGAATTACACAGAAATACTGATAGGGATGACAATGCCTCTAATTTGATTACGATAATAAGGGCATTGTGTAGAGAAATAAACCAGGCTAAGAGAAACAAACTCTGATCTCACTTATGTGTGGAATTTGAACTCTCTCACAAGTTATGTAGAATACTGGTTATGGTTATCAGAGGCTAGGGCTAGGGATGATGGTGGATGGGAGAAGATGGAGACAGTAGTCAATGGATTAGGAAGAGCAAGGTCTGGTGTTCTATTTCACAGTGTGGTGACAACAATTAACAGTGAGGTTTCAAAACAGCTAAGAAAGATAATTTCAAATGTTCTGTTCTGGAGAGATGGCTCAATGAGCAAAAGTGTAAGTATGAAGACTTGAGTTCGAATCCTCAGAACCCACACAAAAAAGCTGGATGCAGTAGTGTGAATTTATGATCCCAGCATTCATAAGGTAAGATAGGAGATTTAGAAGAAGCCCTGGAAGCTCCTGGGCAGGCCAGTCAGTCCGGCACACAGCAGTGAACAGAGAGAAGGCCAAACGCGACCAGGGCTCTGACCTTCACACAAGTACTGTGGCAGACAGGCCAGCCTTCACACACATGAAAATGCACACACACACCAACATGTATGCACACACATACATGCACATCATACACACACACAGAGAAAAATAAAAAGATAAATGTTCTCACCACAAATAAATGATATATTTGAGGTAATAGATATGCTAATTAGTCTGATTTGCTCATTCTGTAATGTACACAAGCACTGAAATTTCACAGAGTGCCATATGTCAATTAAAAATAAAAAAGTTCGCTGGGCATGGTGGCGCACGCCTTTAATCCCAGCACTCGGGAGGCAGAGGCAGGTGGATCTCTGTGAGTTCCAGGCCAGCCTGGTCTACATAGTGAGTTCCAGGACAGCTGGGGCTACAGGGAGACCCTGTCTCAAAAAGACCAAAATAATAATAATAATAATAATAATAATAATAATACAAAATAAAATAAAAATAAAGTTCAACAAGATTGGTCTGAAATTCCCTTCTCTTACTTGGGGCTGTTAGTGGAGATGGAGAAGGGTGAGGGAGGCCACAAGAGGTGAGGTGCTGCCGAGCTAGAGTCCTGGAGAAAAACTCCAGTGAACTGCCAGGAAGCTGCTGCTGGCTCAGACCAGGGAGGGCAACCATGCAGGCAAGACTAAGCATGTACCATGGGCTGCCCGGGGGCTGAGGACAAGGTGCATAGTGTTGGCCTCTGTTAGGGATGCTGCCAGGTAGAGCAGAAGGGCACAGACAATTCCGAGTTCAAACGCAGGCACTGCCACTTGGTAACTATGAATAAATTCTTTATGCTCTTTGAGATATAGATACCAATATCCATCTTTCAGGTCATTAGTCAATAGGAAATAACATTGTTAGTGGGCAGTTATCATTTGACAGGGCAATTTCTTGGCCACTGCTCATATTCAAATCCATTTGCCACTTTACAGCCATAGTGATCTTTCCTATGTTGAAAAGAGACCTTTGCAGTTCCCTAAGTAAAATATATAGTCAGCTAGCATTTTCCCTTTGGTCCCAAGGTAACGAGCAGACGCCTATCCTATGAAGCCTGCGTGTTCTGGGCCTTGTCTGCCTCTCCCTGCTCCCTCTTGTGCTCTTTCCAAGTGCTCTTGGAACAACGTAGTCCTAACCAATTCAAAGCCTTCACACAGAATGAAAACCCCTTCTCAGAGCCCATCTGTCTAGTTAACAATCTCTCACCGCTTCTCTAGGAAAACCTTTTCTCAACCTCCAGACTAGGTCAGACGTCTGGGCAACTCTACCTTTACTGCCTTTGGTCAGTACTAAGTCCAGTTTGTAACTGTGCTTGTAACAGTCTACACTGTGTCTTAGACAGTGAGAGTGAGAGGTAATAATAGTGCCTTTAAAAGAAAAGAAATGGCTGTTGAATCCTCAGGGCTCAATAGCAAGCACAGTGCCTGAACCAGGTCAGGAGCTTAACAGTTTTACTGACTAAATGAAGTAAAGATCAGAGGAAGACTGGGAAGCATTAGTTATGGACCTGGTTAATGGTTACCTGCAACACTTCATTTTCTGGTCGGCATGATACATACTAACCAACAAGCATCTTTTTCTTCCAGTGCTGGACTTCTAGTTTTGCTATATACATACACAACTTGAAACATCCACTGCCTCCACGGGCTAACCAGAGGTCAGAGGACACAGGCCACGCTGGGAAAATGGCATGGATAGAAGGCAGCTGTGGCATGGTACAGGCCTAGGTGTCTTCCCTCATCACGCCTTCCCAGGGAGATGAAAATTCCACACGGCAACACTTACTTGTTCCCAGGAAGAAATCATATGACGTTCAGCAGGCAGCTTTTCTATAATGGTCACCTCTGTCACTCCTGGGGAAGATTCTGGAAGAAGAGAGCATAAAGTTGTAATTGGCCTGCCTCAACTTGCTACACTCCAGGTTGGCTAACTGCTAATGAGCATTTACATCCGGTGAGGAAAGCAGGGCTCAGCCCACAGGCGTGCATGATGCAGCACACCTGGATAAACAGGCCTTCTCTTCTACCTGTACCGTGTTGAAAAAAGTAGATTCCTAATTTCTACTGATTTCACATTTAACTTCTTGTTAAAGCAAATATATGTGCTTAGAGTAAAAAGGAATAAATAGCATCTCACTAACTTTTTATAATAAATAAAACTTGATTCCTAACTTTCTCCCAAATAAAATTCACCTCTGGAACATAGCTCTGACATTCATCAGGATTAAAAGCCAGGCTAAAGCTGGGCGTGGTGGTGCACACCTTTAATCCCAGCACTCGGGAGGCAGAGACAGGCGGATCTCTGTGAGTTCAAGGCCAGCCTGGTCTACATAGTATGCTCCAGGACAGCTGGGGCTACAGGGAGACCCTGTCTCAAAAAGACAAAAATAAATAAATAAATAAAAATAAAAGCCAGGCTAAGCTAGGTACAGTGGTACACACTTCTCACTGAAGCCCTTGCTAGAAGAACTGACAAGCACTGAGGCCACCTGGGGCTAGTGCGTTCCAAGCAAGCCTAAGCTACACAGCGAAACCCTGAAAAAAATAAGTAAAAAACAAAGGCAAGCCTGGGGCTGTGGAAACGTCTCAGTGATAAAACACTTGCAGTTTAAGCATGAGGACCAGAGTTTGGATCCCTGGAATGCACATAAAAGGTCTGGAGTGCACGATGGCAGCCTGTAGTCCCCAGTGTAGGAAGCAGGGATCGGGAAGCCCCAGGGCAATCTGGCTAGCCAGACTGGCTGAAACCGAGATCTCTGGGTTCAGCAAGTGACCCTGCCTCAACATATAAGGTAGAGTGTGATTGAGAAAGAGCCTACAGCAGCATTGAGCCTCTACATGAATGTGCACCCACAGATATGTGCACCTACATGTGTACACACACACACACACGCAAAAATGCAATGCTAAGATGAAAAATTTTGTCTAGAAATATACTGAAAAGGGTCATGGTCGGGTCTTAGAGAGGTGGGCAGACCGCAGCCATGATGCCCACCTCACTAAGAAATTACTGGACCTTGTGCAGCAGTTGTATAACTACAAGCAGCTTCGGAAAGGCACAAATGAGGCCACCAAAACCCTCAGCAGAAGCATCTCTGAGTTCATGTGATGGTGGCAGATGCTGAGCCCTTGGAGATCACCCTGCACCTCCCATGCTGTGCGAAGACAAGAACACGTTACCTATGTGTTTGTGTGCTCCTGGGACGGGCCTGCGGGGTCTCCAGGCCTGTCATCACCTGTTCTGTCACCACCAAAAGCTCTCAGCTAAAGCAGCAGATCCAGTCCACTAAGCAGACCATTGACCTGGTCTTCCTGATCCAATCCACCCTCAGCACTGACCGGTCTTCCTGATCCGATCCACCCTCAGCACACCACTGACCTGGTCTTCCTGATCCGATCCACCCTCAGCACACCACTGACCTGGTCTTCCTGGTCCAATCCACCCTCAGCACACCACTGACCTGGTCTTCCTGATCCGATCCATCCTCAGGACACCACTGACCTGGCCCTTACCCACCTTTATTTCTAATCCAGTCTTCTTCAGCTCTCTTCTGGTTGGTAAAGTAGGGGCTTTATGATACTTTTGTTTAACTTTCTCTTCTTCCATAGTCCAAACCCTTTGCTCCAGGACCAGTATCCTTGTTGTTCTCACTCCCCAATCCCCCCAAACCACACCTGTACTCACATTCAATTATGATGCAGCCCTTTTCTGACACACGTACCTGTGTGCCCAAACTTCTCTGTATACACAATTTAATGCCATTCTCAAATTCTACCTCCTCCATGAAACCATTTCATATTACCCAGGCTCACGGTGATCTGTGATCACCACAGTGATCTCTGATACCATATCCTATACCCTGTAAGGTCAGCACTACACATGTGCTTTTAATTGTATTTTATTTTGAGCTGAATATTGTTTTTTTTACCATGAGGTCTAAGCACATTATAAATGAGAATTTAACATGTCTGTGTATGCATATATACGTGTGGAGGTCAAGGTGGGTATCAGTCTTCCTTGATGACTTACTGATTGAGGCAAGGTCATTCAACTAAACCCAGATCTGGCTGATATGAGCTAATCTAGTTAGCCAGCTTGGTCTGAGGATCCCGTCCTATTTTCCAAGTGCTAGAATTACAAATGGCCCGCCCCACCAACATTTATTTGGAGATTTGAAATCTAGTCCTCACTCTTACAGAGCAAGAGTTTTGTTCACTGAGCCATTTCCCCTGCCCCTGAAATGAGGTTTTTAGAATTTCTAAGAATATGGCAGCCTTCTAACACAGGTGTATGGCAGGACCCTTTCTAGCATACAGTTTCTCCAAGCTGTCAGAAAACTCACACACGGCAATGCAGCAACAGCCCAGTGTAGGAGCTAGTAATGCTGGACTTGCCGGGCTTGGTGGCACATAATTCCAAACAAAGGCAGGGTGATGTCTGAGAGAGCAGGGTCAACCTGGTCTACACAGTATGTTACTGGACAGCTGGGGCTACAGGGAAACCTTGTCTCCAACAAAACCAAAACGAAAAACCAAAACAAAAAAGGGCTCAGCAGTTAAGAGCTCTGGCAGTTCTTACAGAGGACCTGGGTTTGGCTCCCAGCACCCACATGGTGGCTAACAACCTTTCATTAACTACAGTTCCAGGGAATCCACATCCTCTTCTGCTCTCCATGGGCACTGCATGCATGTGGTGCATTTACATAGATGCAGGCAAAACACTCACATACATTAAAAACAGAATGCTGGACTCTACCAGTTTTGACCTTAGTGAAGCTGGCAGTTGCATGCGGTGAAGCGAGTCTTCACTGTCCTCGGACTTTAGGGACACGGAATACTGCTTCTTTTTTTGGCAGAAGAAGAAATGGCATCTTTATTATAGAATTACATATTGCTTTCTACTTTTGCTCAATGTTCTAAGACATTGAAAACATGGGGCCAACATGTAAAAACATTGTGCACTTCAAGCCATCAGGTGAGTCTTTGCTATTTTCCTGAGAGGTTGGGATGGACAATGCTGAGATCTCTTTAGTGGTAGTTGCACAGTGATATTCTCTGACTATACTATCAGGGCGGTCTGGTGCCTACAGTCACAAGAAGATGGATACATAATTGTTCACTGTGAACTCTAAAGCTGGATGGAGCAATTCCTTCCTTTGTTAAACTTCTATCATGTATCCAGTAAGGTAAAGTCTACCTCCACCCCCTGGAATGTACAGCGGTCTTATAACTGTTTTGGCCAATGATATCCATTAAGACATGCTGTGCTAGTTTGGGACTTAAGCTTTAGGATGACTGACAGTTCTCTTTTCCTTTGAGTTCACACATAAATCCAAGCTAGTCTTCTGGCATGAGAAGCATGAAGAGCACTGAGGGGCCAGTCATGTGAGTGTAGACGCCATCAGATAATTCCAGTCCCTGGTGGTACTTAACTGTAAACACTTGAGAGACCAACATGAGAAGCAGCCTAGTTAAACTCAGTCACTTTTTAGAACTAGAAGAGTTAGTAGTTTGTTTCAAACCACATTGTTTTTGGGTAGTCTGTTGACCAGCCATAGATAACTGGAACACACTCCTTAATAGAAATGTAATTTTTGAGGCAATCTTTGGGGCATTTAATAAGAATTTGCTATGGCTTCAGCACAGGTATTAAGAGGTGAATAATAACCCTGAGCACCATAGGAGTTCAGGTAGAAGACCGAACAAGATGCCAAGAATGATGCCTAGTTGACGTGGGCCTTGTGGAACAATGTGGCAGTTTTTGCAGACTGGCTCAATGAAGAACCACATCTGCTCCTGCCACATGTGCATTCCTGCACTTTAGAGACTCAACAGCTGGACTCTATTGCCATATTTCTGGGATTCCACTGATATCGCAGTCCTTCAGGTGGAAGGCAATTCCTGCATAGGCAGGCACTCTCTTAAAACTTGAACAAGGAATGAGCAGGTGAGCAGCAGCAGAGACTGAGTTCGCTCTGTCATGGTGTCAGCAGCACCAGCAGCAGTACAATTCCCATTTCTCTAGCATCATTACCAGTTACAGCTATTTCCTACTCAGCATCTCCTTTTCCGCACTGAGCTTCTCACTTCAGCTCTCAATGATTTTGTAAGTCAATGCACCTTAATTGATTCCTAGCTAAACTGCATTTCCAGGTTCAATCTAGCTAGACTGGATTCTATGGCTTGTAATTAAGAACCTTGGAAAAACACTGGTAGTTTTTGTTTGTGGGCAAAGAAAAGGTGACTTGCTAAGGACTTGGGACTATATATATTATATACTGGGAAGATAGCATTTACACAAAAACTGGGGTCACAACCCCTCCTCTGAAATATGGAAAGCTTTGGGATACAGGTCTGTAAGAGCCCTGAAGAAGGTATCTTTACAGCTAGATAATAATATCAAAAAAGTTCATAGTCTACTCAATATAAACTACAGAAGTAGGTAGGAGTGCCCCTGAAGCCAGGGACAAAAGTGAGACATCATTTCAAGGCCAGAGACAGTACAGGGAAGGGGTGAGTAGACTACATAGAAAATGAACTAACAAAGCCTTCATTAGGAAGACCAGCTTGTGGGACTGGTCTATGTAATGTTTTGCTTTTGTTTTCTTCCCCTTTCCCACACTGATAAAGCTATGACGCTCATATGTGGCACTGGACCACTAACATGCTCTCCTTCTGGGACTGAAATTTTGATAGCTGTGATCAGTTGTTTTGCCCATGTGACTAGACCCCACTGAAACTCTGTGCCTTTCTGTGAGTGTGTATGTGTGACAAGCTTCCAGCCACTGAGCTCCATCTCTAGACAAGGAATTTGGGTCTTAAGCAGTTAGAAACTCTGCACACGTACTGCTGCATTTCACTGGTCAAGGGAGGAATATACTCTCCGTGACCACTCCAAAAGGAAAAAGCTCTAAAAGTTTGTGCACGATCCTCTGGCCTCTGCTTGATGTGTCATTTCTGCTGATTAATGCAATAGATTACTGCTGAGTCCCACTCTTCTAGTGAATCATCGAATGGTTGGTTGTGTCCACTTTAACATTTCTCAGTTTGATTACATAGGCTTTTGGATATCACAAAAAGTTGATTTTTGACCAGATTTACATCTTTTGCTGATATTCACTTATTAAGACAAATCTGTTTAACCTCAATTCTACTAGGATTTTGTAACTACGTATACAACATTTTGACAAGTATACTATTTGTTCTCTTGCCTAAAACATTTGAAAATGTACAGGTTTCTATTGATGAATAATTACCATGAATCAGCAGCTTTTAAAACACCCTATTAGGTCACAATTCTGTAGCTAAGAAGCCTGGCACAGCATGACGGGTTCTCAACTCAGGTTAAAATCATTTATCTGTCCTTACACTTGCTACTCTGACTACTCGGGTGTGTTCTCACTGGAGTTTGGGGTTATCTTGCAGGCTCATGCCTACTTTTCAAAGAATTCAGCTCCCTGTCGTTGTAGGACTACGGTGTCCATACCCTTACCTGTTGTAGAATAAGGCTGTTTTCAGCTTGTACTCCCTAGTCAGGTGCCCCACGGCTCTTCAAGTAAGCAAGAGCATTACAAACCTTTCCATACTTCATTATCTCTTCCACATCCCTTTCCATTAAGTCTGTTTTAAAGTCTGTTTAGCTCATCTGAATAATCTTCCTTTTATCATTTAACTTAACCAAAGGTGTGGTGTCTCCTCAGCTTTATAATACTGGGTTTAAGAACAGGAATTCCTGTAGTGGCTGCTTTTAGAATTCCTATTTTTAAAAATAGCTTTATTAAGACCTAATTCACAAACTTGAAAGTCCACCATATTTTAATGGGGTTGTGTATATCTCTACACCAAAAAGTAACATCGTCCATTAGTCACTCTCCTGATCCCTCTCCCATCAGCATCTAGCAACCGTTAATCTATGTAAGAGTCTCTACAGATTTGTCTATTCTGGGCACCTTTGGGAACCAGAATCAGCCATGTGGACAGGTTACCACTGGTTTCAATTTGTTTTCAAGGTTCATTCATGGTATAGCATGGGTACTGACCATTCCTTTTTATGGCTTATAATTTTTCTATTGTATAAACAGGTGTATATCTAGTCATTAGTTGGATATTATGGCTCTTCTGATTTACACTATTATGAATAATACTCAAGATTATCTGTGAACAAGTGCTTGTGTGTAAATGTTTCTACTTCTCATGGGTATATAAACAGAAGTAGAGCTGCCAAATCATGTGGAAATTCTGTTTAATCTGTTGAGGACAGGTCAATCCCTTCTCTAAAGCTGCTGTACCAGTTTACATTCTCACCAGCAACCCGAGGGTTCATGAACTTGACAATATAATGCCAGTCTTTTTTTTATTATGGCCATTCTGGTGGTTATAAAGGAGCATCTCATTATAGTTTTCATCTGCTTAGCTCTGATGACTTATGGTGATTGCCTTTGCATGGTCCCTTGCCATTAATATAAACCTTGTTTGGAAAAATGTCAACTGGGACCCTTTTAATTTAGATTGTCTTTAGTCCTTAAGTTGCCAGGGTTCTTTATAGATGCTATGTAGTTAGTCTCTCTTCATATGTATTAGTTATTTTTTGGGTTGTCTTGTCACCTCTTGATGGTATCCAAAAAATTATAAACTCCATTTTTTTTCTTTTCTTGATTATATCATATGGAAAATTATATTCTCTAATCTGAGGTCACTTAAAAATTAACCTACAGTCTGTTTTCTTCCAAGAGTTTTTGTTGTTTTTTTTCTGATCAAGTCTCGTTTATTAAAGCACAAGCATGAGTTTAAATAGAGAATGAGAACAAAGACTTCCAAGAGTTTTTGTTGTTTTTTTTCTGATCAAGTCTCGTTTATTAAAGCACAAGCATGAGTTTAAATAGAGAATGAGAACAAAGACTTCCAAGAGTTTTTGTTGTTTTTTTTCTGATCAAGTCTCGTTTATTAAAGCACAAGCATGAGTTTAAATAGAGAATGAGAACAAAGACTTCCAAGAGTTTTTGTTGTTTTTTTTCTGATCAAGTCTCGTTTATTAAAGCACAAGCATGAGTTTAAATAGAGAATGAGAACAAAGACTTCCAAGAGTTTTTGTTGTTTTTTTTCTGATCAAGTCTCGTTTATTAAAGCACAAGCATGAGTTTAAATAGAGAATGAGAACAAAGACTTCCAAGAGTTTTTTAGTTTTAGTTCTGTTTAAGATTCATTTGGACTTAATTTTTATGTATGATCTGATTCTTTTACAAGTTGCTAGGGAAATTAAGAATGACCCAAGTGGTTTCATTGAGTGAGGACTCTTGAAAATTTGCACCTGGCTTCCTTAACTTCCTTTCAGGCATTTTCTCTGTTTTTGTTTTATCTCTTTTTGTTTTAATAAAATTAGCCACGACTCTGGCTACCTCCTAAATCTTACAATTCTCTTAGTGAATCAAACCTGGTGTAGGCTTTTCTGACCTACGGCACATTTTTACTGTTGTTGTTCTTGGTCTGAAGGGTCATGTTAGATGGTCTTTCATCATGGTATTACAGGTGGGCTTTTTCACAGATAACCAAAATGAGAAAGTCCACTCTGTTTTTTCGTTTTTTTCTTTTTTGCTCTTTTTTTAAAGAAAAGATCTCAGTACTGGCCCAGCCTGACTTGAAATCACAACCTTACCGCCTTCCCAGTGCTGGGGTTACAGATGTACATATATCCCTGGTAGATTCTACTTCTAAAATAAGTTATTCTTTGTCATGAAGGGAGCTGGATTTGTCAAGTACCTTTCTGCATCTATTTAGATGAAGCAATGATGTGGTTTTTCTCCTTTATTCTATTAACAAGTTCCATTACATTGATTTTCACATACTAAAAAAAAAACCACACATCCCTAGAATAAATCACACTTGGTTTCCGATTTCTATTATAGAAAAGGGTCAAATGTGTACATACTTTAAAAACAAAACTGCTGCAAAGATGAAAGGAAATGAGGTAAGGAAAGAAAGCAAAAGGGAACGGGGTAATCAGAACTGTATTTGGGGACGGCTTCTCTGAGACAACGCTAGTTTGATTAGAAACCTGAATGATGCAAGCAGACATTGAGAGGGGGATAATTCCAGAAGGCCAAGCAAATTAGAAACGGCTGGAAGCAGAACAAGCCTAGTGTCTTTATGGTTACGACCCTAACAGCAAGCGGTTCACAGCGGTCAAAACAGCGAACGCGGAAAGATGCCGCCAGATCATGCGGGGAACTTGTGGGTCATCATTTAAAAAAAAAAAAAAAAAAAAAAGATTTCATTCGTACGGACAGGAAAGCATTCACACGCTTTCTTGGCTTACTCAGGTGGTGTTATCCCTGCTAGACTTCCTGGCTAACTCATTTGCCTCTGAAAAGCTAAAATCATCTCCGTAACTTCCCAGTAAGGCCGGCTACCTCTGCGTCTCTGCGCTACACTGATCATCGCTAGATGATGATAGATTATGAACCTGCTTTCGGGCTGTTAGGAAGCTACTGTTTATTTCTTCCACTGAACTGTTTCTTTGATCGTCGCGGTCCCAGAGCCTAACACATATTGGTGCTTACTAAATACATGCCGAATGAAAGAAAAACTCCATCGTTCGGCGCCGCCGGCTTTGCCCCCTTCCCACTAGCCTGGTGCTGTGCACGCATGTGCTAGGTTGGCCCGGGAGGTTGGCAGCACCCCTTTCCTCAGTTCCTCCGCATAGGCAGGGCGTGCATCCAAACGCACGGCCGGCGGGACGAAGCCTCCCAGAGACCCGCCCTCCAGGAGCTGCGGGGCTCCGGCCTTCCTTCCCGTCCGGTGCGTGGAACCTTCGGGAACTGAGGTTTAGTTCCACCCGCTCCCGAGTCCGCGGCGGCCCTACCCCGAGCAGTGCCGCCCCGCGTCGCGCTCGGCAGCTCGCCACCCCGCCCCGCCCCGCTCACCGAGGATGCGGGTGACGCCCAGAGTCAGCTTCTCCAGGTGCGGCTTGCTGCTGCCCGGCGGCAGAGGCGCCTCCTCCATAGCTCTCGTCCCGGCTCCGCGCGCGCCGTAGGCACCGGGCGCCGCAGTAGACTGCCGGCCCGCAGGCAAGAGCGCCCGACCCCGCCTCAGCGCTGCGGCGGTGGGGATCAGGGCATGACGGGAGTTGTAGTTCTCGGAGCCTGACGGTTCAGCCGGGCGGAGATGGGCGGTCCGGGCTGCTACCGCAGCTGCAGCAGCCCCTGCTCCTCCGACCGCTTGTTCCCGCCCGCTTGTTCCCGCAGACCTGGCCCGGGACTGCCCTCACATTTCCGCGACCCCGCCTGGCCTGGGCCGGGAACTTCTGGCCTCGCCGCTGCCCGTGGCGTCAACGGGGGCGGGCCTCTGCGCCTGACGGCCAATGGGGCCCGAGCCTGGAGGCCTGGGCGTGGCGGACCCGGCGCGACTCCGCGAGTGGCGGTTGTTTCAAGATGGCGGGCGCGGCGGGCCCCTTCCTGCCGGGCGGCTCGGCGTTCTGGAGCCGCGACTGTATCCTTTGCCCCGCTGCTAAGGGGGCGCCGCGCCCTTTGGGGTGGCGAGGACCGGTGCGCGAGGCCCAGGGTGGGACCCGCCTGTACAGCTGGGGATCCGAGCGGGGCAGCGCCGGGGGATGCGGGGCGCCGCGGAGGTGGCCTGCGGTCTGCGCCCAGCCTCGGGCTGCGCAGGTCCCGGTTGCGGACTCCATCGGGGTGGCGCGGTGGGCCCCGCGCTGCAGCAGGACCTGCAGGCCGGAGGGGAGGAGGACGGGTGCACACCGCCGGTGGCCGGCTGCACTGGACCTCTTCTCTCTGGATTTAGAATTACCCACAGTCTGCACCCCTAGGAGCCAATCAGGACCCTGGGCTGTTTGGCCCCGAAGTGATGCTGCAGGTTTTCCCAGTGCATCCACAGCGGGGTGAAGGCTTCCCTGGGACGAGGAAGTAAAGCAGTGCTGACTTGCAGATGATGGGTCACCCCTGGTGCGGAATGAAGTGTGGAGATTGTATTAGTTCAAGAATCTCTTGCCCTTTCTGGCCGCGCAGTAGTTAGAATTCTCAGTTCGATAACTGGAATTTTTCACAGTGGCTCTTTCTCCGGGATTAGGTTAACTGCTGCATCCTAAGCTTTCTTCTTGGTAATGTGCTTCCTTGCTAGTGGGCATTATTTGAGAGAGGAAATGCAGAGCTCCTGGGAGCCCGCAAGAGGCCAGTTGTTTGGTTGCTTGGCCGATTGATGAGGAGTGGTGATGACGTTGTTTCGAGAATTGCTTTTACCTTTAGCAGAATCACTCTGCAAAATGTGCTCCCAGTGAAACTTGGAAAATTGTATTGCCAGTCTCCTTTATTGAGTTACCAAGATTAGAGTGTGTGCAGAGAGAAATACTCCTGCATTCTGTGTTTGCTGAGTGTTTCGTGTTACACACTTGGTAAACCTAATTATACTTGTCTGATAGGTTGGTGAGAAGCAAAGGAAATCACCTACATGCAGTGCGGAAGAAAGCATACTAATGCATCTTTAAAGTAACTTTGCTGAAGAGAAAGAGTATGTGTCAGGAAGTCAGGAGATTGGGATGAGTCTTTCCTTCATGAAACAGAATTTTGTGGCAGAGATGATTTTTAAGGGTTATTTGCTTATAACAACTAATGACACTGTTCTAATATATAATAGAGGTGACATAGGTCAGAGGGACTGAACAAGTTAATTAACAGTGTGTGTCCCAAATCTACGCAGCCCTGAACTAATAAGTAGTCATACCTCTCACTGTTTAATTCAGAAGTGAATGCGTTCCATATCTCTCACATTTCCCCTCACTCTGGATAGTTAATGTACAGAACTCAGGTTTACCCACTGGCGATGAGAAATTGAAATTGTTCAGAAAATATGGAGTTTACATCCAGTAGAAATTCAGATGTAAGAAGGGAGCTGCACAATCTTTTCCCTCAGCCTGTTTCATCTAATGACCTTGAACATTCAGCCTCTGAGATTTTCCTTATGAATCTCCATAGGGCATAAAAGAGCAGTGTTAAATGTACATTGTTACTGAGTTTTTGCTGGAAAACAGATGGCTGTGAACCATTTGGTCTTTGGATCTTGATTTCTTTCTGTCATATTGATGATTATTTCCTAGCCCCCTCCAGAGTCTTTATAGTGAATTTTTTACTAGGAAAAGGCTAAATAATACACACTAACGATAGGGTATTCTTTGCACACTAGTGAGTAAAAGATTTTCAATGCTTCCCCTGAATGATTAGAGCACTGTGGTGGAGAGATTCCTTAGTCCTACAAGTTTCCATCATGAGAGGACAGATCATCAGTGATTGATTTCCAGTTTTTTAAACTCTTGTGAGTTTGTATCTCCTGCACAGTGTGATTCATTGCTGTTTTCACAAGATGTTGACATGTAATGTATAAATAATGAGGATACCACGTTGTCATTTAGTAGGTTAAATCTTCTTGTAAAATATGTTCCTTCAATTATAAATTTCTTTGCTAATCTATTATGTTTCATAGTAGTGTTATAAGTAGTCATTCATTCCATAGGTTAAGTTTGATAGCTAATATGCATTCAGTAGATTATCATTTGCAGTATTAATAAGTACTAACAAATGTGTACTTTAAGGCAGTAGTTATCATCTCTGCCGTTGAGTCTCAAAAATAGGTGATGATTTTATGTTGATGTAAAAAATAATTTGCCTCAAAATATCTGTGGTCAATAATAATTGTCTATACATGTGTTGCTGGGAAATGATTGAAAACTCACAGGGTTCCACTGCTGCTGGAATCCTACTTCAATTCCTGTTCAGTCCTGAGGGTGTATATATAGATATTTGCATTAAGATATTGAGGTACTTCTAAAGCCATATAGGAATAAAGTGGCACATAAGTTTAGAATACATTTGGTACAGTTTTTGTCTATTTGAGCTTTTAAAAAATTACATGTTTGTTTGAAAATTGTATATACGAAGGTAAATATTTGGATTCTTGATAAAATGAAGTAGTTTGTGTATTATTGGAAAGGATAAGTTGCATGGAGACAAATTCAAATGTTATTTTTTAAAATGCTGAGTTTAGCTGGGCATGATGGAGCGGACCTTTAATCCCAGCACTCCTGTGGCAGGCAGAGGCAGGTAGATCTCTGAGATCAAGGCCAGCCTGGTCTAGATAGCAAGTTCTAGACCAGCTGGGAGTATAGGGAGACACTGTCTCAAAAAGACCAAAAAGTAAGTAAATAAATAAATAAATGTTGCTTTTAGTTTAGAGTTTTTATTTTCTATTTGTAAAGAAATTACAGATGGATGGTAGGTAAAAATATTAGGTTTTCTTATATATTTTGAATGATTTGAAGAGATTAAAAAAACCCAAAAGTTATTGGACCCATGCCTCGAAAAATGATCAGTTTTGTTTTCATTTCATAGGTGGCTTACTGTAAACTAGGCATTCTTTTTTTGTTTGTGAATGAATGCAAAATTGAACATACAGCATGAAAATCATCACGTTCTTTTTTAAAAAACTGATTTATTTTTACTTTATGTGTATGTGTTTTGCTTACATGTATGTAAGTGCACTCATGTTGTGCAAAGCCTACAGAGGACAGAAGAAGGGGTTGGATCCCCTGGAACTGGCATTACAGATGGTTGTTAGCTGCCATGTGGGTGCTGGGAATCAAACCCTGCTTCTGTGGAAGAGAAGCCAGGGGCTCTTAACTGTTGAGCTGTCTCTCCAGCTCTCTAAAATCATCACATTCTTTTTAAAAATAATTTTATTGATCTTTTGTAATTTCATACAACAGTTCTTAATCAAATTTAGACCCCCCCCATCCCTGCTCCACCACCTCCCCACCAGATCTCATGTATTACGGCCATACATGTTAAGTCCCATCCAGTGAAGCATTTGTACCCAGATGTCCTTCAGTGCAAATTCGTCCCCTGGAGACTAGTCAGCCCATCTAGAGATCATATGCAAGGCATACTCTCCCTCACCCAATAGCAATCAGTCTCCAATAGATCTCAGTCTAGCACCCCTCCCCCCGCCCCCATTTCTCTCTTCCCTTCTGGGCCCTTGTTTAATTGAGTTGGCATGGGTCTTGTGCTCGATGCCAGCATTGCCACAAGTTTCCAGTGGCCTGAATGCCTCTGCTTCCCTGTGTTCATGAGCAAATCCTGGCTTTTTCAGTCTATCTGCCCCATCTTCCACTATAATCATTGAGCCATGAGTGAGTGAAGTTCAATGTAGGAGTCCTACCTGAGGATACACACTCTGCAGTCTCATTTTTTAAAACTTGGCCAGTTGTGACCTTCTGTGTGTACCATACTCTGTTGTATAAAGGAAGGTAGTTGAAGGATGCGTTTGTTTTCTCTACCCCTTGTTCCACTATGTTCCCTGAGCCTTAGGCATAGAGGTTCAACTGTAGATGTGTCACCTAGGACTGGGCATCTCTCAGACATATATTCTCTGTGTCTGACCAGTTGTGTAATTCTTCAGTATCCTCCATCTATTGCAAAAAGAAGCTTCTTAGATGAGTGGTGTACGGTATGCTTGTCTGTAAATATAAGGATCCATATTTAGCATATGGTAAAGAATTTCATTTGTCTAGAGATAGGAAAGAGAGTTTTCTCTAGGATCAATGTCCTCTCTTGCTGTGTCTATTTGGCTGAGTTTACAGTGCCACCCATGAATTCACTCCCATTGAGAGGGCTTGAAGTCTAATTAGATAGCTGTTGGTTGCCCCCCAGATAACAGTGCCACTACTGCACCAATAGAGGTAGTTTGCTGTGCCGGTCCTTACGGATTTTAGGCTTTGATCCTGGGTTGGACCATTGATTGTTTTTCTCCCTTACAGTTTGCATATTATTATCTAGCATTATGAGAACTAAATTTTGGTTAGAAGGCTTTCAGGTCTATTTCCTGCTCCATTGCTCCAAGTCCTATCTCTGAAGATTGTTCTGTCTTCAGCAGTAGGGTCTTACCTACTAGTTCTGGGAGATAACCAAGAGCTTTGGCAATGGCCTGTGTTATTTTGGAAGTCTCCTGGACTACTCTCACCAACCACTCAAAGGGAGTTCTCTTCTGTATGGCACTCTGCTCCTTCCCAAGTACCATATGGGCATTTCTCATGGGGTTTTGAGGGCATCACATTTCCCTCTGGGTTTCCTATTCCAAGATTCATTCGTCTCTTTTTCTTCCCATCCGGCTTCCATCCCATCTGGCTTCCCTTCTTCCCCAGTTGATGATAATATTTTATTGAGATGAAATATATGTCTTCTAGTCATAAACGCTACAGTGAAAACTAAAGCAGGATAAGGAGAAGAGTAGAGGGGCTGTAGCTGGAGAGAATTGTGCAGTGCTAAGTACAGAAGTGCAGCCCTCAGTCAGAAGTTGTGTGTGAGCTGGGCATGGTGGTGCACACCTTTAATCCCATCACTTGGGAGGCAGAGGCAATGATCTCTGTGAGATCAAGGTCAGCCTGTCTACTTAGCGAATTCCAGGCCAGCTGGGGCTATAGGGAGGCCTTGTCTTAAGAAGTTATTTATGGGCTGGAGACACGGCTCAGCAGTTAAGAACACTGGTTGTTCTTGCAGAAGACCCGGTTTCGAATCCCAGCACCCACATGGCAGCTAACAACTGTCTGTAACTCCAGTCCCAGGGGATCCGACAGCCTCTTCTGACCTCTGCGGGCATGGGGTGCACTTACCTATTTGCAGGCAATAGACGCATACACATAAAATAAAATAAAAAATTAAAAAAAGGTATTTACTACTGTCCTAGTTTGTTTCTCCATTGCTATGACAAAACACTCTGCCCACTACCAATTTGGGGAGGAAAGGGTTTATCTTTCATCTCCTGGGTCACAGTTCATCAGGGAGCCCAAGGAAGAACTCAGGGCAAGAACCTAGAGGCAGGAGCTGAAGCACAGGCTATGGAGGAACTCTGCTTGGTGGCTTGCTCCCCTGACCCCTGCTCAGCCTGCTCTCTTATACAACACAGGCCCACCTGCCCAGGGGTGGCACCACCCACAGTGGGCTGGGCCCTCCCACATCACTCACCAATCATGAAGATTCCCCACAGACATGGCCACAGGCCAGTCCAGTGGAGGCAGTTCCCCCATTGAAGCAGTTCCCCCACTGAAGCTCCCTCTACCCAGGTGTGTCAAGTTCACACTAAAGCTATTCAGCACAACTACTGAAGTCCTAAAGGTCATGAGTGAATAAGCCATGAAGATTAAGGAGAGCAAGCTATGTGGAAAAATAAAGCATAAACACAAAAGCAGGATCAGGAGCTTGATTCGTTTCCTAACAAATGCAAGGATGCCATGAAGGAGTGAGGGGAAGAGTATCAAGAAATGAGGTGGGGAAGGTGGGGTGCAAGAGTCAGGTCTTGAGCTTCTAGGCCCTTGTGAAGGCCTTGAGTTTTTATTCCGAATGAGGAGTGACATGGGGTTGTTGTATTTGAGACAGAGACTCCCTGTTGCCCCAGCTGATCTGGAATTCCTGTGTAGACCAGGGTGGCCTCGACTTCATAGAGAGCCACTGATCTCTTCTCCCTACCCCGGGTGCTGGGATTAAAGTTGTGTACCAAAATGCCCAGCTTGACATGAAGCTTGCTTTTCAATCTTTGTTCTGACCCCTGTGCACAGAGTAGAATGTTGAGGAGTTATGTGAACAGGAGAGAGTGGTTAGGACATAGTGACAGTAATCCTGGTGAGAGGAATGGTGGCTTGGATTGATGTGACATTGTTGGTCAGATGTTGTTGGACTAGAGGTGGCTGTTGAAGGTTGTACCAACAGAATTTTCTGTGAATAGGAGAGGACAGAAGTCAAGAATAACTGCATGTTTTGTTTTGGTTTGGGGAGCTGGCAGGATGGAATTGTGACTGAGACGGGAAAGGCTGTGTGAGGAACAACCTTTGAGATGAAAGTAAGGTCTTCAATACTGGGCTTCCTGGGTGTGAGGCTTCTATGGTCTAAATGGCAACAGCAATTACAGAAGATAGGCTTGTGATAGAGATGAATTTGGCAATAGTCAATTTATTGATCATATTTAAAGACATAGACTTGAGTCTGCAGACACCAGGACTCCAAGATGGCTTTGCTTGTTCCTCTGAAGGAGAAGAAACTCAAAGAAATTAAACTAAGAGAGCTGTGGAGCTGGATGCCACTGTGGGATCCTGCCTCCCAAGGCGTTGTTGGAGCTCTTCAGAGACAGCATGCCAGTACCACAAGTACATCAGCCTGAGGATAGGGAGCATCGGCAGCCTCACTGTAGTGCTGCAGCCTGCGTGCTCCTCAGCTACTGCCTGTCTTACAAGAAACTCAGACATGAGCAATTAGTACCACAGTGTGAAGGGCACTGCACTCCTGAGCATGACCACCTGCCCAGTTCCTGTCCATGGAGAATTCAGCTAAGGCTATATCTTTCCATAGCCTGACTGAGAGCTCATGTCCAATAAAAGGTGACTGGTTCCTATACCGCTTAAGGAGAAAAAAAGACAGACTTGAGTGAGCTCACCAGTATAAAGCGCAGGAAAAGCTTGAAGTCAGGGGCCCTAGGACTCTGCAAAGTGTCTAGCAGCGGCCAGACTAGGAGGAGGTGAAGGGGAAAGAGCAGGAACTGCTGCAAAGTGAGAGTTGTGATTCTGCTGCCTTTGAAGCTCAGCAGAATGGTATTTTGAAGTCAGTGGTCATGTAAATCAAATGTTATTGATCGAGTACCAAGAAGCCTGAGTATTGGTTGATAGATTCACTAAGACAGGACATTAAAAGTTTGTTTAGCTGGGTGTGGTGGCGCACACCTTTAATCCCAGCACTCAGGAGGCAGAGGGAGGTGGATCTCTGTGAGTTCAAGGCAGCCTGGTCTACATAGTGAGTTCCAGGCCAGCTGAGGCTACTGGGAGACCCTGTCTCAAAAAGACCAAAAAAAAAAAAGTTTGTTTAAAGTAGTTTCATTGGGTTGATAAAACTAAAACTTGATGGAGGTAGGTGTGAGACTGATGAGATGGAGGGGAATTGGAGGTCTTACAAGAAGTCTGTCTGCGAAGAGGGGCAGAGGGTTCAGTAGCTAGAAGGCACACCAAGAGATGTTCCTTTTTCTGAAAAAAAGAAAATTTGACATGTTTAGATGTCTGTAGGAACAGTTAATAGAGAAAAATGATTGATTCATAGGTCAAAGGAGGAGGGAGAAGATCATTAGCAATACCCCAGAGTGAGAAGGAAAGACAGCTCCATTGGCTTTAGACAAGAGCCTAAGTGCTTCTGTAGCGAGAGGAGAAAATGGGTTCTGTGGGCATGGAGGCAAAAGAGGTGGTTAGATATGCTGGCCAAAACCTGAGGAAGGGTTTCACAGTTTGTTTTTCCTGAGGAAATAGGAAACAAAGGTATTAGTTGAGGATAAAAATGGAGGGTGTGTCAGAGGGAGAAATACATAGTGAGCTTCCAAGTCCAAATGAAGCTAAGTGGGTCTCAGCGGGCTGTTCTCTTCCTGTTTTTTGTTTTTTTTTTTTTTGTTGGTTTCAAGTGTGTTTCAAATATCAAGTAAACATTTATTGAGTGCCACTGTATATACAAGGTCCTGTGTTGATCCTAAGGGATATAAAATAAAGAATGGTTTCTGTTGTTCAAGAGACCTCACCATTTCATTTCATGAAACTATTCGTAGATTGTCTGTTGGTGAATTAATGATTCTAATTCTCCTAAAACTGCCTAAACCTCATCCCTGCTGTTTGAGGAAATTGAAAATTTAGTGTTGTTGTTCATTATCAGCCAAAATTTTTTTATGGTTGCTTTTTGGGGACAGGGACTCAAGTAGTGGAGATGGGCCTTAGTCTCCTGATCCTTCTGTTTTCATCTCCTAAGTGCTCGGATCAGAGTGCACCACCATACCTAGCCTAGTGACCAGATCTTAAAGTTGTGGTAGATGGTACAGGGACTGCAGAGAGCTGAGAGACGCCAAGCAGGAGGACAGTGGCACTGCCAGAGTGCTCTTAGGAGTCTTGGGTTTGTGGGGGATGGAGCCCAGAAGCATGCTGTCCTAGGCAAGCCATCTACCACCGAGTTATTGCCCCAGACCTTGCTCACTGCTCCTCCTTAGAGACATTCCACAAGTACACTGCAGGAGAATAACTTCCCTCTGTATTTGCGTGACTGACTTGCCCCCAAACATTGATCTTTGAAGATGATGCCTATCTTGAAATGATTTGTTCTTCCTGTCTACAATAACTGTCAGATTCTCCACAGTACTTAACTCCTTGTTCACTAAAGGAAAGTAGCCTAATGGCAGAGTGTGTTGCCCAAGGTGTCCTATTGGGAATAAAGGTGAATAAAGTTGTATGGATGATGACTTTCCAACATTTTTCTAAATTTGTAGTTATGATTATCTGAAGCTGAACTTTTATGCAATATTGTTTTTGTTATACTTCAGTTACTTTCTGACTTTGTTTTAAAAAATTATAAATTCTCACGTCAAAAGATGAAGAATTATAGACGTTCATGAGGAGAGCAGTGTTTGGATATTTTATGTTTTGCAACATTTTCCTTCATGTCCTCCTCAGTTTCGGATGAAGAGCAGTCGGTGGTATATGTTCCAGGTATGACCTGTGCGGAGAGTTTGGACGTGTCCTTCATTTCTTACATGTCAGGAGGACGTAAGATAGCAGGACAGACGTGTATTTGGAACTGGGTGCAGGAAAATCCACGAGAAAAGTTTCTTAACTGAATCCAAAAAATCAAATGTTTTTGAATATTTGACCATACCCCTTACGATTTGAAATACTGGCTGGGCAGGCAAGCTTTTATAAACGTGTAGAGTATTTCATATACAAAAGAGATGAGATTCTTTTTGAAATTTAAAAATTTAATACCTCAAAGGAAAATGTGAAAACTTGATACAGGTGTAAGTAAGCTTCAGTGCTTACTAGTAGTCAAATGAAATCGTTGAAGATGCTGTTAGGTAAAGCGCATCTTTCCTCTAAGTTATCTTGCCATACTATAATGGGACTTATGAATGTTCATAGCAACTTTTAAGAGTTTGAATTGAATTATTGAATAATTTCTTAAGACAGCTTTTTCATGATTGTGTATGTGCTGAGAGAGAGAAGTAGAGAAGTAATGGGGATGTGAGAACGTTGAAAAGAATAAGAAGATATAATTTTGAGGCCTTGTTTAATGAAAATTCTTGGGAATTTCTACAGAAGGAAATATCAAATCAAGACACAAGTTGATAAGTCCCCAAGCTGATGTGAAAGTTAAGACTTCCAGGGTCCCTGATGCTTCGGTCTCTATGGCATCTTTAAAAGGTGCAGGAGATTCAGTAGCTGAACAGGTCAGTATTTTTTTTTTTTTTACTTTTTGTTAAGAGAGAGAGAGCTAGAGAGAAAGAGAGAGTGTGTTCATGTATGTTCACATGCGATATGTGTACTTTTTAAAAATGTTTTATTTATTTTTATTTTATGTGTATTTGTGTATTGCCTGCATGTAGGTAAGTGCAGCTGTGTTGTGCAATACCCACGGAGGACAGAAGAGGCTATCAGATCTCCTGGGACTGGAGTTATGGACAGTTGTTCGTTGCCATGTGGGTGCTAGAATTTAAACCCAGGTCTTCTGCAAGAACAGTGTTCTTAACCACTGAGCCATCTCTCTAGCCCCTATATGCACTTTCTTTAACATAGGTCTCTCACTGAGCTCAGAGCTTACAGTTGTCTGGCTAGTCAAGCTCCAGGAGTCTGCCTGTCTCCCCTCTGCCCTCCATGCTAGAGGCGCAGGTACACAGCACTACACCTGACTTCGGTGGGTGTGAGAGGTCTGAATCCAGGTGTCTGTGTTTGTGCAGCAGGTGCTTTACCAACTCCTCAGCTTGTTAGGTTTACAAATGTTGCCCAAAGACCTTGAAAAAGTGTTAGGTGATCTACACCTGATCACTTGGTATCTATAAGAGATACAGAAAGTTCTAGGACCTTTTGATAGTGCTGTGTATGAATGTAAAGTATCTACATTACTCAAGAGTTTTACTCTAAAATATATAGACCTGGCTCTAAGCCTTAGTTAAGAAAATGGGTCATCCTAATATGTCTCAAGATTTATATTTTGATTTTTTTCACATTAGTAGGTCAAATTGTCAATATTTTTGCAATTAGGTATCCTTTATGATTTTTATTCTTGTGAATTTGTTATTGTACTTTTATGTTAGAATGATGCTTTTGTAAAGAAAATTAGCATGCATTATGAATTTTCTTAGAAAATAATATCAAGATCCTTCATTTTCTGTTTTTTCAGAAATTATTTTGAGACAGGGTCTTCTGTATTCCAGTCTGGCCTTGGGTTCACTGTGTAGCCAAGGCTGGCCTTGGGCTGTTTGTCCTCTTGCCTCTGCCTCTCAGGTACTGGGATTGCAGGTGTGTTCCACCACGTCCAGCACAATTCTTTCCTTTTTCCTTTATCCTTTTTTTGATATGTATATGTGTCGTCCTTGTCCATGTATGTATGCTAGCATGTGTTGACTGACACGTGTGTCCATGTGTGTATGCGGGCCTGAGGTTGATACGTGTGTCTTTCGCCCTTGCTCTCTGCTTTATTTATGGAGGTGGGGATCCTGTTGGTCCCAGAGCGCCGGTCCTGGCTACTCTAGCTGGCCGGTTTTCCCCAGGGCTCCCGTCTCTACTTCCCGAGTGCCGGGACTCCAGGTGGCTGTCAGGACTGCCTGGCTTTTATGTGGGCTCTGGGGACCAAAACCCCACTCTTTACTCTTGCAGGGCAAGTGCTTGATCCACTGAGCTGCCTCCCCAGCCCTAGACCAGTCGCCAACCTCACCCTCCACAATACTCTCTGCACCCTCCTTTGGCTCATGTCTGTTCCCTTCTATTTATTTTACTCTAAGTATTTTGTTTTAATAAGAATCACTTAGCTGCAATGATACAACGATTATGTTTTCTTTTCTCAACTAGAATTGAGGTCATATTTGTAACCTATGGTTTGAGGGAAATTCATCCTTTTGCCTGTGATGTGTGACTTTTCCTGGGAGAACTGATCAGACTTCTGTTTACCTAAGACGGCACTGACAACAGACTGAAGAAACGTTTTAGCCTCAGCCTGGCTTGGTGAACCAATGAGTTTCCTGGGGTTACTTCGAGAAGCATGGGCAACTCCAAGGCAGCTGCACTACAGAAAGCCCAGCCCAGCATGGGTGACAGCCCCCAAAAGTTGTGCCTCTGCAGCTCCTTGCCCGACTTTCAGGCTGCCCCACCACAGAGACTCCTCTCCCAAGACTGTGCACAGTTTCTAAAACTTTGCAGAGGGGCCTTGTGAATCTTGTAGCTTTCTGAGCTTTCTGGGCCTGAAAAGTTTCTTTAGCTTCCTAAGTGTTATGCTTCTTCCTCCTCCCTACAGGAGGAATGTTTCATTTTGGAAGAAATAGCTACACAGCTGCTTGTTTTCTGGATAAATATTTTTCTGGCACCTACTATGCTCATTCTTTGAGATGTTGTCTGTACCTGCTACTCTGTTACAGTCACAGAGTTGGTAAAATTTTTGCTGTCAGACTGTGCTGGACAGCTTTAGTGTCAACTTTACACACCTGGGTAGAGGGAGCCTCAATTGGGGAATTTCCTCCATTAGACTGGCCTGTGGCCATGTCTGAAGGGCATCTTCTTGACTGTTGAGTGGTGTGGGAGGATCCAGCCCACTGTGGGTGATGCCACCCCTGGGCAGGTGGGCCTTTGTCGCATAAGAAAGCAGGCTGAGCAGGGGCCAGGGAGCAAGCCAGTAAGCAGAGTTCCTCCATGGCCTGTGCTCCAGCTCCTGCCTCCAGGTTCCTGCCCTGAGTTCCTACCTAGGACTCCCCGATGAGCTGTAACCTGGGAGATGTAAGATAAATAAACCCTTTCCTCCCCAAATTGGTAGTGGTCAGAGTGTTTTGTCACAGCAATGGAGAAACAAACAACACAGACCATTTATAGGAAAAGTTTTACAATCCCTAACTTCTAGTCTTGAAGATATTTGTAATATCTCTTGCTGATGATTGTGTTTGGTAGCATGTATGATTTAGTAGAACCCGAGGCCATGTCTTCTTGGATGCCATTTGGAGTAGAAATGGTCCAGTTGTGTCTCTGCTATTCCTGATGACACTGGCATCAATGGTGTGGTGCATCCAGAGAGGGTGCTAAATAGAGGCTCTTAGCTGATCACTCACTGTTTCCTTTGCACAGAGCCCTAGTTTCATTCTGTTGCTGTGATAAACTGTTCTGACCATAAGCAACTTGGTGGGGGGGCAATGGTTCATTTGGGTTCCAGGTTACAGTTCACTGAGGGAGGTCAGGATAGGATCTTAAGCAGAACTTGTGGCAGAACACTCTCTGCTGGCTTCCTCCCCACCTTGCTCCTGGCTCATGCTCAGCTAGCTTGCTCATACAGCCTAGGCCCACCTGCCTAGGGATAGTGGCAAGTAGGCTAGGGACTTCCCACATCAATCATCAGTCAAGACGATGTCAAACAGCAGACGTGGCCACAGAACAGTTTGATGTGTATAACCCCTGGTTGAGACTTCCTCTGATGGCCCTAGGCTGTGTCAAGTTCACAAGACGAGCCACGATGCTCCCATCCTTGTCAGCTTTACACACATGGCTGCTAAACCCTAACTTTTCCTTTCTCTTCCCCAAGAGCTCATCTTAATATCATAGTATAAAATGCATGTAAGTTTAAACGTCCCACAGTCCTTAAAATTTTCAGCACTTTAAAAAGCTCGGGGTCTCTTTAAATATCCAGAGTCTCTTAACTGTTGGCTCCTGTAAAACCAAAAGCAAGTTATATATATTCTTATTCCAGAAGGGAAGAACCAGGGCATAAAAATAAACAGATCAAAGGAAAACCGAAATTCAACAGTGAAAACCTAGGTTCTGTGCTCAGTATCTGGTATCTGGGACTCAGAATGTAATCTTTTGGAGTCCGATAGAGGCTGGGTACTAAAGTCTCTTGAGGAATGATTGGTCTTTTAATGCCCCATCACTTAAAGATGATAGTGTAGACTTATACAGTCAATCACGTTACATGATAAAGACATAGAGAAAAGCAAGTGCGTATAAGTCCTCAGTGCTTGCACAAACACATCCTTAACACACAGGACACGGCTGTCTTCCATTTTCAGGAGTTAGTGCATGTGGTGATAGGTAAGGTCATGGTTTCTAGTTCCGTACTGGTAGTTGGCCCGGCACCATTCATTGAGAAGACCATTCTCTGAATTGCAGTAATGCTGTTGTGAGTCAAGTGGCTGTAGAGGTGTGTCCCTTTATACCTTTTTTGGTAATTGTCTCACCTGAGTTTTGTTTATCACTCTTTGTTTTTTGTTTATCGGCTTTTGGCAGGTGTTTTCTATAAAGGGCCAGATAGTAAATATATTAGTCTACGTAGGCCAAAAAATACACATCAGCTTTGTAGCTTTACTATTGTGCTGTGAAAATGGCCTTAGGAAGTAGGTAAAAGAGTAGACTTGGCTATGTTTTAATAAACTTACGTTTACAAAAGTATAAAGTGAGCTAAATTTAGCTTGCAGGTAGTTTTCAAAACCTTATCCTACATAAGTAAATATATTTTTTATTTTTAGGCAATATATTTGGAACTTTATATAAGTAAACGCATAGCATGTATATTATAGGACTAAGTTCTTTGCTCTTCACTATGTTCTTTGCAAATTCTAAAAGCTTAAATAAGGGGCTGGAGAGACGGCTCAGTGGTTAAGAGCACTGGCTGCTGTTGCAGAGGACTTGGGTTTGATTCCCAGCACCTACATGGTGGCTAACAACCATCCATAATTCCGGTTTCAGGGGAGCCAGTGCCCTCTTATGACCTTCATGGGTATTGCATGACATGGGTGCACATACATGCAGGCAGTACAGTCATACACATAAAAATAAATAAAAATAATAAAATATTTTTTAAAAAGCTGGCTGCTGTTGCAGAGGACTTGGGTTTGATTCCCAGCACCTACATGGTGGCTAACAACCATCCATAATTCCGGTTTCAGGGGAGCCAGTGCCCTCTTATGACCTTCATGGGTATTGCATGACATGGGTGCACATACATGCAGGCAGTACAGTCATACACATAAAAATAAATAAAAATAATAAAATATTTTTTAAAAAGCTGTTATTCATTTATTTTAAGTAATGTGTCAATCCTTATGTTTTTTTGACTAACATTGTTGAATTTAAAAAGCTGTTATCATTCATTTATTTTAAGTAATGTGTCAATCCTTATGTTTTTTTGACTAACATTGTTGAATAGGTACCAGAAAACTAAAGAGATAAAAAGAACAGTGAGGTGTCTTGAAAGTATTAACTGCAGAAACAATCACCATTTCCCAGGGTTGGAAGATCAAGTAGAACAAGTTTGAATTATTGAGATTTAAAACATTTCAAGAGGGCCTCCTTAAACTTGAAACTTGGACTTCTGGTGGCAGGGAACCAGCCTAACCAGTTTTGCTGCCTTCAGGAGGCCTGATAAGTCAAGGCCAGTTCTTCAAGTTCTAGAAAAAATTATAAAATGGAATCATCAGGGCTTGTAAGAGTGAGGAACAGACAGGAATGGCACTGACAGGAAACAAGCAGGAAGGGTATGTTCTTTCTCCTCTGAAACCTCTGGTCTCCCTCTAGTTCTTTTTGTCAGTGTGGTTTATTAGAGATCCGGGTAGCAAAGGAGAAATGAAGTTTCCAGAGTTCCCACCTCACTAACAGTGCTGAGCTTGGGAGGATGAGTTTACAAATGGAAGCCAGAAGAGAAACAATAAAAATAGAGAGTTCTATAAATAGGCCACACTTGTGCTATTCTCTAAGCGATAAACATTTGTGTTTTCAGGTTTGCTGTTAAACACATGGTTAGCTGGGGAGGTAGCCCAGTTGGTAGAGTGCCTGCCTAGTGTACAGGAAAACCTGGGCTCAGTCTCTAGCATTGCATAAACAGGTATGATGGCATACCTGTAATCCTAGCACTCTGGAGGCAGAGGCTGGAGGATCAAAAGTTCACGGTCATTCAAAGCCCACCTAAGCTACATGAGACCCTGTCTTAAGAAACAGTGACAGTGGCTGCTAAAGTTCCGGCCTGTGTGCGGGGATTCTCTTGTTTGACCTGTCCTGTGCGCTTATCTTTGCATAGGTTATCTGCAACATCTGTCACCAAATCCAGTGCCTTCTTCCTTTCCTGGTCGACTTTTTCAGTCGTTGACACTACTGACCTTATGCTCATCTTTAAACTTTTTCTACAGAGTTATATATGTCTGACTCTCTTCTTTTAAATGCTAGTTTAAATTAAACTTAGAAGTACTAGGAATTAAAATTTATAAAAGCATCAATTTCTTGCATTTTCTAGCTGATTTTCAAAAACTACCTTAATTTTCAGTAATCTCTAGTTATTACAGAAAAAATTTTAAAGAGGTAAATACATAAAGGAAGTAATAAAAATCTAGCCACCCAGGGCTGGAGAGATGGCTCAGCAGTTAAGAACACTGGTTGTTCTTGCAGAAGACCCAGGTTCGAATCCCAGCACCCACAAGGCAGCTAACAACTGTCTGTAACTCCAGTCCCAGGGGATCTGACAGCCTCTTCTGTCCTCCGCGGGCATTGCACGACACGGGTGCACTTACCTACATGCAGGCAATACACGAATACACATAAAATAAGAATAATATTTAAACACAAATTTAAATATTTAAACACTAGTGTATGTTACAGACTTTGAATCTTTGATTATTCCTATTTCCAGGGTTCATTTTAAGCTCATTGGTCATGTAGGGTTACTGAAGAAACTGGGTTAGCTTACTTTGGTAGTTGCATAAATGCTACAATGGAAGACAAAGTTTCTTCCTTTTCTGTGTCATAGAGCTGTCTTGTGACGCCTTTGAAGACCTCTCTGAAATTGTTACAGTACTTGTGAGAACCTTTTGTAGTACAAAGAATAGCGTAGCATGTGAGAGCATGAACTGTGGACCCTGAACCCTAATCCTGTTCTTTAGCTGCTGTAACCGTGGGCAAGCTGTGTAGCCTTAATGTAGAACAAGAACGATATCCATGTAATTGCAGCGAGAATGACATGCAGCCACAGTAAGAAGTGTGTAGCATGTTCTTGGTGTGTGGTAAGCACTAGATCCACACTGGATCTGAGCCCCTTCAGAACAAACCACCGGGTGTTTTCAGTGCTTAGCAACCAGTGCCTCTTCGGCCGGCCTTCGTCTATCTTAAGCGGTCTTTCGGCTGTTTTAAGGAAGATTCTCATGGTTTCATTAGACACATGTTTCCTGCCACTGACCAGGGACACGCGAACGCTTTTTCTAGTACTTAGTAGGAACATTTTCTGCTTTGAAGTTCTATATATTTCTGTGTAAATTCCATGATATCCTCTGGTTAAAAATTGCTTTTAGAAGAAGTTAACTAGATGTTTTGTTTTAGAATCTCTGCAAGGGAAGAGTGAAGAGTGCATCTTTGAAAGACTTATGTCTCGAAGATAAGAGACGCATTGCAAACTTAATTCAAGAACTGGCCAGGTGAGACAAACCCTTATGAGATTACTCTTTGAGAGCAGAATATTGCTAATATATTTGATGCTATTATGTCATTGGTCTTAGGAGAACAAAGGCTTTTAGAAAAAAGATTTTGTTTTGCCCAAACGCCCACCTTTCAGGCCTTGCTTCCAGTGACCTGACTTCCCTCACAAGACCTTGCCTCTTAAAAGTTCTACCACTTGCCAGTAGTACCATGGTCTGAGGAACAAACGTTTAACATGTAGGACTTTGTGCCATGCTTATTAAAACTGTAGCCACATTGTTGGGGGAAAGTCATTGGAACTATTCAAATGTACTTTCTGCTCTGTTCTACGTGAGTATGTGTCTGAGGAATGCGCTGCAGCAGCCCTTGCAGTACATTCTAGTGGTTACTTTATACTTCCATGGTTTTACATTTATCAGTTAGAATTTTTATTCAAGTACAAGCTTTTCCTTTTGCCCTGTTTATTTAAGTACTTATTTCTTATTAGTATCAGACTCATAAACTTAGAATTTTATTCTAATCCAGCATTTTAGGATTCAGAAATAAAGTGAAATAGAAGGATGTGACTGTGTAGGCCAGACAAGGGCATCAGATCCCTTGGAACTGGAGTTACAAATGGTTGCTAACTGTCATGTGGGTGCTGGGAAGTGAACTGAGGTTCTCTGGAAGAACAGCAAGTGCCCTTAACTCTTGAGCCATTTCTCCAGCCCTGAAAGATGTGCTTTAAAAAAGAAAAACTTTATTTTGAAATTTCTATAGACTTTCTTGTAGTTATAAACAACATAGGGACAGCTTATGCACCCTTTACCCGGTTTCTATTAACAAATTTTGATTAACTACAATACAGTATCATAACCAGGAAATTGACAGTGTCTGACATTGACATCTGTTATGTACAACGATCATCAATTTTATATGTACTCATTGTAGATTTGTTTACAATCACCACAGTCAAGATTTTAGATAGTTCTAAGACTCACTCATACTGCTTTTGTTTTGTTTTGTTTTTTGAGTTGCTGGGCATTGATCCTAGGGACTTGTATGTAATAGGCAAGTGATCTTCCACTGAGCTACATTCCCAATTCTAGTACTACCTTCTTAAGAGCACAGATACTTTATTTTCTTTCTTTATTGCTCTTTTTAAAGAAAATCTATGTGTCTGTGTGCATATGTCTCTGTGTATGTATGTGGGTGCCCATGGGTACCAGAAGAGGTTGTTAGGTCCCATGGAGCTGGAGTTGGAGACTGTTGTGAGCTGCCTGATGGTGGTTCTCTGGAAGAACAGCAAGTGCTATTAAGCACTGAGCCATCTCTACAGCTTTGGCACAGATTCTTTCCTACCTGCTTTGCTAATCACAAACTACCACGAATCTGTGTGAGTCAGGAAAATATTGTGTCATTTAAAAAAACTATGTGAATGGGATCTTATAGTATGTAACTTTTTTGAGATGGGCTTTTTTTCACTCAGCATAATTCTTTCAATCCATCCACGTTTTTGCTTTTCAGTAGTTTGTTCCTTTGTATTGCTGAGTGGTCGTTCATGGTGTATAGGTCTGGCTTGTTTAGTTACTGCAATGGTTTGAATGAGAATGTCCTCATAGGTGCCAAATATTTGGACATTTTGTCCCCACTTGGTGGCACTGTGTTGGGCGACCTTAGAAGGTGTGGCCATGCTGGAGGAAGCACGTCACTGGGGGCGGGCGTAGAGTTCTTAAGCCTTGCTGGATCTGTGGTGTTTTCTTATTTCCTGTGCTTACTTGAAGATGTGAGAGCTTAGCTTCTGCTCCTCCAGCCACCTCTGCCACTATGCCTTCCCACCATGATGGACACTTGCCCCTTTGGAACCATAAGCTCAAGTAAACTCTTCCTTTTATAAGTTCCTTTGTTCATGGTGTTTCTATCACAGCAACAGAAAAGTAACTAATACAGCTATTCATCTATTGAAGAACATTTAAATTGTTTCCAGATTTTGACAGTAATAAGTGTAGCTGCTATGAACACTGAAGCATACATAGGTTACCATGTATGCCTGACATTTTGATTTCTTTGGGATAAGTACATGCTTAGCTGTATAAGAAACTGCATTCCAGAATGATTCAACCATTTTAAAGTCCCACCAGCAATGTAAGAAATCGAGATTTTTCTGAATTCTAGTATACACATTTGTATAGGTCTAGTTTTAGGAGTTCGCATAAGCACTTAGTGCTATCTTGGTGCTAGCTTGTCTTTCTGTAATGATGGGCCTTGCTTCATGTGCTTATTTCTGTCTGTATGTTCTTTGGGGGAAGTCTGTGCATTCTTTGGGGGCATTTCTTATTGCAGTGCTTGGTTTTATTTATTTATATGTGTTATTTTTATTTTATGTGTATTCGTGTATTGCCTGCATGTGTGTGAGTGCACTCGTGTCGTGTAATGCCCGCAGAGGTGAGAGAGGGTATTAGATCCCCTGGAACTGGAGTTACAGATGGTTGTTAGCTGTCATGTGGATGCTGGGAATTGAACCCAGGCCCTCTGCAAGAGCAGCTAGTGCTCTTAACTGCTGAGCCATCTCTAGCCCTGATGGTTGAGTTTTTTGGCTGAATTTTTAAGAGTTGATTATGTGTGTATGTTTTAGGTACAGGTCCTATGTTGGATATGTAGCTTGTCTCTTCATCCTCAGGGACTTCCATAATTTAAATGATTTTAACTTAAACTAGATGAGCATGTCGTTTTCCCCCTGTAAGTTCATTTGAATTAATTTGTGTCTAAATTGTATAATATAATAATCTAAAAATGATGTAATAAAAATTGTATGATTTTTGTCTAAGTTGAGACTTCCAGGTTTTGTTTTTCTTGATGTCTGGTTAGTTGCTTCAGCACCATTTATAGAAGTCTTTCGTGTGCTTCTGTCAGACATCGGTAGGCACATGTTTGCGTGAGTCTCTTTCTGAGTTCCTCACTGCACGGTCTGTCTGTTCCCCAGCAGTCATTACTGCACATGTCCAGTATAGAAAGCTGAATGCTGAAGCGCGATCCCTTCTGTGTCATTCGTGTTTTTCATAAGGAGAAATGCTAGTTCTTTACATTCTGACTTTGGCACAAGCTTTTCTGCATCTATGAAAACAGATATTTCATCACACTGTGGGTCAATTTTAGGAAGAAATAAAAATTTCTGTATTGACTTTTCTAATCCAAGAATATGGTTATATGTCTCCAGTTATTTAGGTATTTGAATTCCTCGGTAGATGTTTTTTAAGTTTTAGTATGCAGATCTTGTACAAGTTTTTGTCATATTTATTTATATTTAAATATTTAATTTTCTTTGGAGCAATTGTAAATACTGTGATTTTTATTTTGTTTTTTTTTATTTATTAATAGTGTATAGGAATGTGATAGAATTTTATGTTGATCTTAATTCCCACAACTTTAGTGAGTTCACTGATTAATTCTAAGGATTTTGCTGTTGTTTGACTCCTTGGGATTCTTCTGTCCAGAATCATGTCATGTGCGGATAGGGACACTTGTAGTGTTTTCTTTCCATGATGTATATCTTTTCATTTCTTGCCTTATGGTCCTGGCTAGGCTTGTTAGTTCTGTGTAAGTAAAACATGGTGAGAGATGGTATCTTTGCAGCATCTTTGCTCTAGGATGAAGCATTCCATGTGTCCTTGTTGGATGCAGATTGACTGTGCATCTGTATCACATGGAGGTGCTCTTCTCTGTTCCTGGTTCCTCCTCTACCCCCTCTTCCTCCTCTCCTTCCTCTTCCTCCTTCCTCTTCCTCCTCTACCCCCTCTTCCTCCTCTCCTTCCTCTTCCTCCTCATGCTCCCCCCTCTTCCTCCTCCCCTTCCTCTTCCTCCTCCTCTTCTTCCTCCCCCCTTCCTCTTCTTCCTCTCCTTTTTTTTCCTCCCCCTGCCCCCTCTTCCCCCTCCTCCTGCTTCTTTTCAGAAATGAGATCTCAGTGTGTTTTCCAGGCTGGCCCCAAATTATTGGGCTTTTAAACTATTCTGTTAGTTTGGTGTTGCATGCCGCCAAACCCTGTCCAATCACTAGATTTTGCTTTGTTGCATGCTAGATTTTCATGCTTTAGATTTAAATGCTTTTTTTTTCTATGTCACTTGATACATTAATTTTCTTTCTTATCCTACAGTATGGTGGGTTACACTGACTGAATTTTGCATGTTTACCTAGACTTGCATACATGTTATACAACTTATTTGTTAGCACTATTTTTATGCATTGTTTTGTTGGGAATTTTTATATCAAAATTCTTGAAACATACTGGTCTTGAGCTTTGCTTTTTTGTACTTTGTTTGAATTTTGAGTCATGGTAAGAGTACTTTATAAAATAAGTCAGGAATTTTTCCCCTTGTAATTCCTTGAAGAAATTATAGGAAATTGTATTTGGGTTTTTTTTTTTTTTTTCATCTAGATTTTGTTTGTTTGATTTCGATTTAGTTTTAAGTTTTTGAGACAGTGTCTATACATAGCAGAGTCTGGCCTTGAACTTAGGATCCTCCTGCCTCAGCCTCCAAAGCACTGGGATTATAGGCACGCCTGTCATTTGTTTGGCAGTGGTATTAGTTCTCACTTAACTCTTTATTAGTATTCTTCAGTGAAATGATATGGGCCTGAAGATTTCTTTTTTTTTTTAACTGAATTTTTGCAAATTTCATACAATACATTTTGATCATATTTAGACCTCCTACCCACCTCCCAATTCGTGCTGGGATTCTGTCTGACTTGAGCCTGTGTGGGTTTTGTGCATGCTGTTATTATTGCTGTGAGTTCATTAGGGCAACTGTCCAACTGTTTGGAAAACTCTGGCTCTACAGTCTTTCTACCTCCTCTTCCACAATGATCTGTGAACCCTAGGAGGCAGAGGTTTGATATTCAGGGATAAGCGCTCTGCAATCTTTTTTGTTCTCTGCACGTTGACCAGTTATGAGTTTCTGTGTTAATCACCATCTGCTGCATGAGGAGCTTCTCTGCCGACAGCTGAGAGATGCACTAATCTAC